ACCGGACCTCACTTAATCCCTTCACCCCTAAGCTGACATTGTGGTGGAAGCTACGTGCTTGCCGCACAATCAGCCGCCTCCCTTTCATCACCTGACCTCATTCTCTGCGCGTGGGTATGCGTGAGAAAGCGTGATCACGTGGCAAAAATGTGGCTGGCCCAACGAGCACGTAGCTTCCGCAGCACTGTAAGCTTCGGGGTGATTGAGGTGGGGAAAGCAACTTTTGTCTGAATTTTGAGCGACGGGCTAATCTTCTAGGGGGACAATGGCTGTGTCCCGGTACTCAAACGAGAGTCCGAGCAAGAGGGGACTGCCCCGTTTCCATCTTCTTGAACTGTTTGGTAGAATGCGCGATTTATGAGTTGAAGAGGAAAGCTAAACAGGAAAAAGTTGGAAAAGCGTTTCATGACTCCTTTAATTCATACTTTTGTACTCGCGGCCCTGTTGAGTATGCTTCTCTCCGAGCACCGGTGCACCGCAGAGAAGCAAACCTGCAGAGCGTGCTTTCATGAGTGTTGTTTCTCCGCAGTGCACCGGTGCTCATAAAGAAGCACACTCAAGGCTCAAGCGGGCACACATTAGCGGAAAACAGCGTTCACATTATGTGCTTCAAGACTAGCAACGATGACCAAGACGATATCGAGGATGAGGACCAGCTCACTGGCATCATGCTTTCTGGCCTTGAAGCACATAGGCGGAATATGCTAGTCTTGACGATGATGTGTGTGTTTGTCGTGATGACTCATTAGAGGACATAGTACAGGAAGTAATGCCAGCACAGTGCAGCAGTGAGAGTGAAGATGACAATGAAGAAAGGGATGACTTGCTACCAACTGTCACAGCCATAGCTTTGAGCACATCGCTCAGCTCCGGAAGTTTCTGTTTGCAAAGGAAGATTCCCGTAAGGAGCTACTTGCGTTGGCTGGTATTGAAAATTTTATTTTGAGATCGTATGTGCTGACTAAACAGTCCACAATCGACAAATTTTTTGCCGGATGAATAAACTCAATGTCACAGCTCTTTCACTAATGTGTTATGCCTGTACTTGCTTATAATTAGGCCTATGTAGAGGAAACTGGCAAAAATCTGCTTTGTATGAGTAGCTATCCATGTAACAAATCATAATGCTGTCTAGTATCATATTTAGATGAATTTCTGATAATTCAAACTAAAATCTGTGACTTCCTGGAGTTTGAATTAATGAGACTCTACTGTAGTTTGCTGTACGGCATTTCGCATTCAGCGAGTCATTTTGTCACTGTACACAGAAGAAAGCATAAAAGCGTTCGGACAAGTTACGCATTCACGGCTGCACGATGCTGGCAACTGTAGGGCGAGTCGTTAGACTTTGCCTTTGGTGAAAGAGTCCTGTTTGTAACACTGTGCTGCTGGAGCAAATCCACAGATTGATTGCTACTTCCTTGGCGATACAACCGCTGCCTTCTCACGTCGACACATGGGAAATACCGCAAACAAAAGCAGACACCGTCACGACTTCGCAAGGTGAAACCGGAGAGGTCAAGAGCGGAAGAATTGCTTGAGTGTTGACGTGCTAGTGGCATCAACAACAGAGGCCTGCCACAAAAAAAAAAAAAAAAATACTAGTTTGTAGTTTTTTTGCTGGACGTGATGTCACGACAAGTGACGGCAGCGATTGGCTGGCAGAGTGATGTAGATTCTTTTAGGGGGAATTTGCCACTGAATTCATAACCTGACATTCAAATGTAGTTTCTAAACATGGCGGATATAATCAGGCCAGTTTCCGTCCACAATGCTGCCGCCTAGTCTGTCGCACAGATTATTTCCGCTGCTAAGGGGCAATTGGGGCTTTATGTAAACATAGGCTGGACGTGCGTGTAGGAAAAATAACATGAATGACCGACCACATCTTTGACTCTTCCAACATATTGCAAAAAAACAAAACAAAAAACCGACAGGTCAACATTTTTTTTGTTTTTTCTTCATTTTTAGTGGCTGTCGTGTAACATCGAAGTACAAGTACCAAGTAAAATAAAACTAAAGAAAAAGTACATAACGTAAGGTGTACATGAACTCTATAGATATAATACCAGTCCCAATGGTTTAGCAAAGAAGCCAGTCTTCTCAGAAAACCCCCTCTCTCACTTGAGTCCGTTTTCTAATATTTGAATCTTAAAAAGAAATTGCCCCGAAAAAGCGGCAGAAAATGCACAAAACAAAGCGACAGTGCCTAAAAAGGTCACACCTGCCTTTTCACATGGCTCTCGGAACTACACGCAGTGCAGGATGCAGAACGGTACCCATGGGCTAGCTGCAGTTGTAACCCAGTGCTAGTAGTATATCGCAGCTGCTTGAAAGGGAGAGAGGCCACCTCCTTCATGCCGTGGTACGGGGAAAAGCAATACCAATGAGCCGCAGGCGTCGAGCACCTTGTACTTCTGTGCATCCACAAAGCATTTCTGGGACAGCAACGACAGGAAACTTCAGTAACACAGTGAACAAAAAAGAGACCAAAAGAGTAGGCATGCAGGCAAGCGTGAATTGTAGACACAGCTAAAACTCAAGGCACAAGGAAGCAGAAAGAGGGCACATGAAGAGGCCTTTCGACTTCCTTGCATGTCGGGTTTGAGTCTCGTACCGGGTAGTAAGAAGCAACAATACTGGTTCCCTAGCCTTTCCTGTCTCAAGAAGCCTTGGAACAAAGATATCCTACTCGTCATTTATCTCGTTTTCTCTTCTCGGGCAGATTAAAGTGCACGCTGCGGCAGTAAACTGCCTCCAAAGGACTCAACTCGCACTTCTTAGAGAATGATTGGCGAGCAACTTCTCCATTGTGTACTACGTGCACTTTATGTTTTAAAGGGGTACTCCGGCATTTTCTTCATTGTCCCCGATTTGCCTAAAAACTTGCTAAACACATCAACAAACATCGCTGAAATAGTAACCGAAATATCTGGCCGAAATAGCTTTTTTTCGCAGTCACAGAATTTACAATTTTGGTCATCATTGTGTTTTTCGAAGTGAAAAGCTCTACTGGCAACATTGAAATTGAGACGTCATGGGAAGGCAAAGGTTCACTCTTAGGGCTGTAGACTTTGTTCACAACTGATCACAAACAGTTTCATGGTGTCAAAAGAATGCTTTGGAAGGTCGCCCCAAATCCCACCCAGCAGCACGAAACAAATGCTCGGCATAGTTCATTTCTACACAGCCGCTCGAACCGTGAGCCTGTCCCATCCTGTGACACAAGCACGTAACTAGAGGGGGTTCATGGAGCCCGGCCCGGCCCGGCCCGCCGCTGCCGCCCCCCGCCCCCAAAACAAAATCCTGGCTATGTGCCTGCGTGACGTCACGGCAATGAAAAGCACAAGTATATTTCAATCTTGGATTGGCATCATACACGACAGTGGTAGGAACATTACTTGTGTCGAGCTAGAGAAGCCATATTGGGGGCTACCCCAGCTACGTCCACACTGGCTATCATGGCAGTTATGTGCGATGCAGACTAAAAAGAAGTCTCGTTGCATTGTTAACACAGACATCAAGTCCACTAGGAAAGGCCAGCTGTGCCATCCACCTGTTCATAAGCGAGCTGGAGTTCATCAAAGCACAACCGAGAATCTCTCGGAAGTACTTGGTTCCTTTTCAGCAGTTATTGAATGAAAGCACAGTGCAGTGGTGATTACCATCAGCACAGCCTTGCCACTGGCACTGCTGTCCCTCGAATGGCACATGCACGACATGGCCTGCAAGCCACATATATCCCTAAAAGAAAGCTGCATAGGATGAACTTACCGTGGCTAGCGTCGCCACCCAGCGAGCTTGCACAAACCCTCTGCATGGCACGCAGTGCTGTTCAGAACAGAGCGGCACTGGCTAGCCAGTTAATGCGAAGGCTTGTAGTGTCTTGCCGCTGCCTTGGCAAAGCTGCAAGTCACCTCTTTCACGCCTTGTGGTGCTCATCAGCTTCAAAAGAAACGGTGTTGAATCGCGACCGGCTATAACCTGTCGCACAAGGGAGAAAAGGGTGTGAATGTGCAGACTCCTATCTGTTTGCTTTTGTCTAGCGTGTGAGTTTTGTTTGAGAAGAAAACAACAATGACACTTCTTTCACAGTAATATGCAAAACAAAAACGAGAACGGCTCGGTTATTAATAAGTTGTGTGCAGCAGAGGCACGGGTGCGAGGGCGTAGCTCCGCAGAATGTTCTTTTTGCACGGCTGCTCGTGCAAAAAGGGCGCTTTTGTGCTCGGGCCTGTGCCTTTTCTGCACACAACGTATGTTACAGAGTGTATAGCACGCCTTCGAGAGCACTCGCGTGCGGCGAGAAATCCATCATATACAGGGTACGATCGCAGGAAACCTCGCAGGGGTGCAGGAAGCTGCAAGTGCACGGTGCACCAGAATGTGAAACTAGAGGTGGTAATAGTATTTCACAGTTTGAGAATATGACGTTACTTGACGTAACTGCCTTACCGGCGGATGATAAGGGCCATCGGAGCACGACCAACTATTTGTTGTGATCGGGGCATTCGATTGGACGCGGGTTGGTAAAGATTTGAAAAACACGAAAGAATAAAACATGTAGGGACGAAGACAGACAGCGCAGTTCTTTGTTGACATGAAATGTAAGATCAAGCACATTATTCTGTCGGATCAAATGGTTTTGTTGAATTAGGTTTAGCTCGCAAGTCAGCCGTTCTTCGGCGGGCTTTCAGCTTTCTGCGATGGTTGTTTTAATCGTGAACGCAGGCTCAAACAATGTAGGCAGCGGCGCCAAATAGATCTGAAACTAAGAAACAGCTCGGACGCGTGGAACGAACACACACAGAGATCACATCACAGGAAAACTCGAACCACTCACCTTTCGTTCGACGACGGTACGTCAGGCACGATGTTTCCGATGTTTTTCCAGGCGTTGAGGAGACCGCGTCTGTTTCCGTGCTCCTATTGGTCGTGACGTCACCAAATTTCATCCAATAAAGTGCGCGCCGAAGTTTTCTCTAGTCGCCGGTGGAGGAGAGGGTTTTGGATCCGATTCTTTTGGATCTTGTGTTCAGTTTAATAGAACTAACATCCGTAAGCCACATCGAGCCAGTTTTGCGTTTTGCTTAGATTTGCAATCTCTCGAATTCAAACCATTCAAACGTCCGAGCCGTCTCTCAGTGACCGTGTTTGACACTGGTGTTTGTGTAAATCAAGGTGATGCGGCACCTTTAGTTGTTCCAGTGCATAAATGATGGAGAAAGCACGCAAAGCAACTAGTAAGAGTAGCCGAAGTTGCTTCGTGCCCAATTGTAACTCTGGATACAACTCCTGCCCCGAGAAACGCTCGTTGTTTCGAGCTCCGCGCGACGCAGCACTTTTTGATCAGTGGGAACGAGCCATTTCAAGAACGGATAAGAAACTGCAGCACCACAACTCCGTATGCGAGCTCCATTTCGAGGAAAGGTGTGTAGAGCTCTACCGTGCCAGTCTCTTTCGAGCGAGTATTGCCACCATAAGCGCCGAGTTTCGTCAGTGATTCTACAATTCACAGCTTGTGGCACTGCCAAGGGCCTTACGTGTTTCAATGACTGGACCGCAGCGGAGAGTGCGAGCGGTACGAGCCATTGAGGCCAATCGAACGCCGTGTAAAGGTCCACGGGGGCGTTTGCTTACTATTTCTTATGTTATGCGAGGATCCACCGGGACATTTGTGTTTCGTATATACAAAGCTATGCACGAACGTCCCGGTGAGGGTCACGTGACTTCAAGAGCCAATCAGTTTTAGTTTTCCCCTTCCTCCTTTCCCTCTTTCTTTTCTCGCGTGTGAAACTATTGGTGGACGGCAAAATACGCCATACGCAGCGCTACTCCTCCCCTGGCGAGGCGCGCCTATACTTGTTAGCAGTACGAGGAGCAGACGACGCGGGAGGGTGGTGCGCGTGTCGTGCTGGCCTCGCGCTTGGTAAAGTAATGTACCGAATGCAAACGGGCAGGTCACCAGGTATTGTGTACTCAAATGCAACTGCATCGCGTTGAACAGAAAGGTAAATACGTGTATCCCGAAATGTTTCATTCGGTTCCTGGGAGGTGATTAAAGGAGGAGTGGCAGAAGCATGAATCGCCAGCTGTGCGAAGGACTTAATTATTGTTTCTCTATCTTGTCACATGATTCAGTAGTGCAGCTACGTTTACTTGTCACATTAATAGGGACTTTTCATAGATCACACGCAAGACCATGCAAGAGTTTTGCATTGCTTGGGAAACTTTGAGGGCAGACTGAGCTCGCGCCCACGGGGGCCCGCAATCTGCGGCTGATGTTCTACGATAAGTCCCTAATGTAGTAGCTAAGACTTGTGGCTGTCATCAAAAGAAACCTAAAAATGCAGTGTGTTTTTAAACAACTTTAAATTTGAGAACCAAGCTCACTTTGCTTACCCGCCAATTTTATTCCCCGATGCTTGCAAGAGAAAGCGAGCAAGCGGCAAAAGACTTGAGGTGAGATGAGACAGATAATCATAGCCCCTATTGCGTACTGACTTGAACACATATTTGAAAAGAAATTGATGGCTGTACTCTAGTTTTAGAGCGCCGCTCTTAGGCGCCCGTTTCTGGCTTGAGCAGCGTCGGCGTAACCGTGAGGTCACATGACCCCCGTGAGGTCACTGACCCCGGTGACGTCACGTGACCCCCATGAGGTCATGTGGCCCCTCTGAGGTCCAGGACCCCCGTGAGGTCATAAGGGTCATGTGACGCCACGTGACCTCAGTTATGCCAACGGCGACGCCGCTCGGAGAGAGGAGTAGCAGGCAGGATGAGGAGGAGGGGTATACCCTCCATTCAGTACCCTTCCCTCCTCCTCAAGAGCTGTGCTCTAATTCGGTGTTACAGTGAGTTGTAAACGGCTTTCATTTTTCAATGTATTATAAAGTGATTAGTTAGCCCAAAGCAGTTATGATTACTTTCCAAGGAACTCTGAAAATTAGGCACTAGAACATTCCTGGGTCGATGAACTAGAGCGTGATGGCAATGTTAGATGTGTAAAATGAAAGCATCATAAAGGGGACCAGGACATTTTTCTCAGAGAGAAGGAAGTAATATTGACAATTCTTTTTTGGCACAGGGTGTTCTAGATATATAAAATATAACTGCGCCTAAACAGCAAACAAAACAAAGAAATCATACAAAATATCTATTTGTAGTTGCCTGCAACTGTGTTCAAAATCATCATTCCAGCGTCATATAAGAAAGGTAAAAAAGGAAAACAACAATACTGGCGCAAATGTCATAACAATATGAGTGGGTTACTGATGCACATGCGTGAATTACTATGTTACCACTTTGTAGCAGCGGTACACGTGTGCAAACACAATAGGATATCTGGCATGTAGTAAAAGATTTCTAATTTTGTTGTTCGACTTGTTCAAAATGCCTGGGAACAAAAAAGAGAAGCTGTGGCTGTTTTTGCATCCCGCTTCGTTTTTTTTGTACAGCTTGAACTATAGTTGGTGACAGGTCAAGAACGAAGTGGAAGCTCCTCCCACCCCTTCCAACTTCAGCAGAGCGAACGGTGGAGAGGAGTTCGCCTCCTCTCAGCGTTCGCACTATTAAAGTGGAAGGAGGTGGGAGGGGCTTCCACTTAGTTCTTGACCTGTCACCGACTATAGTGTTGTGGTCTGGCAGTGCCTGCCTTGTCATTGACTTCATTAGCAAGAATTGAAACAGCCGCAGCATGCTTCCAGCAGTCGGTAACTCCGACTTTCTAAGAGCACTTGCCCAAGTTCAAGCAGTGTGTGCGACATCGCAGCTCTGCGTAAAAACACAATTCAAACAATATATCACCCTCATCTTTGTCCAACTAGCTCTTGACTTTCATGAGCGAGCAATACTGTAAAGAGAAACAGCATTTATTTTGAAAGGGATGTCATGGGTGACTCTGCCTTGTACCTGCAAGACACACTTCAGTGTCGACAAATGTTCTTATGCCTGGATTATCTCCTTCAGCCCGGAGACCTAGCACACAGGCAACCTTTCTTTGTGGAGGTTCACCCCCCCTAAAAAGTTAATCACCGTTTTTCAACAAGACAGGAAGCCACAATAATATTGCAACATGGCCGCAGTAAAATTTTAATGTGTTTGTCGCCATTGCAACTGGACCCGTACTGCTATGGAGGGCGATTTTATGCCAGAGCGTGGCACCACTAGTATTCCTCCGGCGCGCCCTCTGGGCAGCCTTTCCGTGCTATGACAGTCAGGCACTTGGCGCATAGTCATGCGGTATGTTCACAGTGCTGGGTTGGCTAGCTCCTAGCGTCCACTGCGGTCCATCGTAAGGTGAAATGGCTCCAAACAAACCTGGTTGGCATCTTTATAGAATTGCGTTTACTGATCGTTTCGGTGTGTTTTAAAGTTATGTCTGAAAGTCAGCTTGGCTCACCTCTGCATAACAGGTACAGTGCTCACCAAACTTATCCGGAACACATGAACGGTGCTCTTATTTTATGGAAGCGCTATCCTGGTGGCAGCCAGAGAACTGCTTCATGACAGCGCTCTTGATAGACACATCCCGCACCGCTTGCTGAACCGTGAACACCACAGCAATTTTGCCGACCGGGCAGTCTAGACTTATATCGCCACTTTTTCGCATGAAGATGCATAGGTGATTGTCGAAACAGCCAATGATTGGATTCAGTCAGTAAGCATTTAATCTTTTAACTGAATGAGGCAAAAAGCAGAGATTGCCTTGCAGGTAAGACTGCTGTGTTGTCCCTAGACCAGCAGCTTTTTCGGCCTCGAGCGAGCGGCCTTTTTTGCTTGGACTATTCTATTGACCGCTACATCATGGAGCAATTGTTTGGCTCTCGCCAAGACAGCACTCGCTGATGAGATAAGACGTTGTTCACGGGTTTTGGATAAGTTTGGTGAGCACTGTACGTATACCACAAAACATGCATGTTTGTCTCCCTTTGCTTGTGCCACAGCTCGGACATAACATCATATTGCAGTAGAATTTCATCTCCGATAGGAATTTTTTCAGAATCCAGATGGCACTGGCAAGGAGCCTTTCCACTCATCTGCTTATGCAATAGAGTGCTATTTCCAAATAAAAATAAAGAAAAAACTAGTCTATTTTTTCCGGTTATCAGCGAACGGCTTGCCCCTGAAAGCCCCCCCCATTCCCAAGTCAATCCATAAAACCATTCCCAAGTCAATCCGTTCGATAGTTGCTGAGAAAAAAATAAAATAAAAAAAGTTAACATTGGAATTGTGTAGGCTCGAGGGCTGCGATATCCTCTTAAGATGTTATGTCGCAACCTGCTTGCCCGCATTCTCATTCACTAGCAGGATGCAAGTACTGTAGGCATGCAAAAAAAAAAAAAAGTCTCCCTTCTTAAAGTAAAGGGAAAAAAAAATGTTTGCTTGTAGTTTGTTTTGTATGGAAACATATTTGGCATGCAGATAACTAATGCATATACTCAAACTACTGGAATGCTCATGTTTGGCTATCTCGGCATAGACTTCTTTTTGCAAGTCCCCAGTACACCGAGGCTAATCATGTACAAAACACTGGTTCATGCAAAGTTGGGGCACGCATTTTCTATCTGAGATTTCAATGTCACACTTGAATCTGCATTGCAAATGTTAAAAAATTTCACCATCCATGTTACTTTTCACTCAGCCTCTGTTGCCACAAGACAGCATTCCATATATATGCTTGTTCTAATAAATCTGCCATTATACTCCAACTCTTTTACCTGCAGACACTTAAAGGGGCGATGCAACGATCCTCATTTGGAATGTTTTTCACTTTACACAAGCTTCACAAGTATACTCGCACGCAATGCTACCAACCAAGAAACCTCATTGTTGCGGTGTAATTTTAAGAATAAAAACAAGCGTTTTCTTTCAGTCTCTTCCTCGCAAAACTTGATGACATAGTCTGGAGGTCGCAGTGTTGGCATAGTCCCCCGGTGATATTTGAATGCAGATCATTGATTGGGTCCGAGCACTGCATGAGCACTCGACTTGGGCGCGCCATAATTGATAGCTCGACAAGCATTCAGGTAGTGGCTCGTGTCCAGTTGCATCAAGGACGACAATAGCTGAGCCCTAACAATGTCTGGAGCTCAGCATGTGTTCTGTGCTTTGCCAACCCCAGCGCGTGGCTATGATAAACATTTGAAACATATAATCGGCTCCAGATCACGTGGCCAGTTGTTCTGGCTGCGAGTTGAGAAAAAAAAAAAGCTGCTTGTTTTTTATTTATTTTTTTTTCCGACTTTTATTGCTTGAGGAGAAAATCTAAAGTGTGTTTTATAGGGTTCTTTCTAAGTGGTATTTATGCGAAACACAAAAATCGTTGCGCCGCCCCTTTAAAAATTTTAATTACAAGTAAGTGAGTGTACTCTCACACATTGATTGCCAACATAAGGTGGCCAATCCTGTACACAAAGGCTCTACTTTTTATCAGTCTTTTTTTGTTTTAAGCAAGCTCAATGCCCCTGAACAGGCTATTTTTAGATGTATATTTTTTATTGATCCCATAATTTTCAGAAATGCTCCTAAGATTGTGCCAGACTACGGTTAATATAATTTCCACCCAAGTTTCCTGTCATTTTATTCTTAATCCACTCCTCCCTCTAATGTCCTTGCACCCCGAGGGCCAAGTTAAATAAGTAATTTGTTCTTGCAGGTTCATACAGCGCACTCATCGCTACATAATCCACGGCTCAGAAGTCTTCTTACCACGTGAAGTGGTGAAACTGAAGGAACGTGCCGTGCCTACGATATTCGGGGTTTCCTCCAAGGAGGATAAACGGAAGCTAAAGGCACCTCCACAAGGCATTGAAGCAAAGCCGGTGTCTCTGCACTTGACTGCTACCCAAGGAGAAGCTCCCAGCAATAAAACAAACTTGAACGTCGAAAGAGTGAACCGTAGCACCATGACGGAAGCGAAGCCTCTGCTTCAAACTGTCGGGGCTGTCTGCCCTACTGCGCCGTCAAATGTCTCGGAGAGCACGGACTGCAATTCGTGTGCATGTTGTTACTTGTTCGAAAATCTGGAGTGCCCGTCGAAGTACTGGTCTCAACAGCTGTTGGCCACAGAGCCTCTCACAGTCTCCTACCAGACGGCGACATACACGGGAGAAGGCGACTATCCGATAGCCTTGGACAAAGTGGTGGTGTTCCGCACGAACGAGACAAACTCTGCAGCAGCCGTCTGCAAGGTTTACCTGCGGGGTTTCCTTCACCAGGAAAAGGCCGTCGCAAGCAGACGAGAAGCACAGGACGCCCTGTCTTACGTTGGCCGTCTCGAACTTTGTGCCGGTGTGGGGTTGTTGGGTGAATTTGCATCTATCACGCTCGAAGAGGCCAAGTTGCGCATCACCAGGGACCGCATGTATGCTGACCAGTGTGGCGGATCTGTTGTTGGTAGGGTACCTCTTTCCCCAGCCTCGTTATACCTACTAGTCTCGTATACGTTGCCATGGTAAAGCGATACATTCCATTATGCAATTACAGTCACTCTCAATCCAGCATCTTCCGGCCTCAGTCCTACCAAAAGGTGCTAGGAGTCACAATAAAAAAAAAAAAAAACTATAAAAGCTTTTTTTTTTGTTTTTTTTATGCATGTTGTACACAAAATTTCGACCCATGCAGAATGACTGTAGCATTCTCTATGAAGTATATCTATTTATCAAGACACACTGATCTATGGGCTCAAATTTATGTGTACATGCCTCCAACCTCCAAGCAAAACCAATTTTTACCTCAAGCACGTGGAGCATTACTAATTTCCCCCTTTATGCGGATAAATAAGATATATGTAGATGAATTTCAGATTACATATATGTTAGCTTATCAAGGCACACACATTCCAAACGCCAAAAGCATTGCTTTTTCTCGCGACAACCAAATCTCGTAAGAACTACTTTGCGCCGCGTATGAACAATCCGCAAAACTTGGATTTTTCTTGAAGTGAAAACGGGTATAGGATATTTTCTTGGATTACGCTTTTCAAGACGCGGTACTACGCAAAGTGGCGCCCCGGCACGCACCCTGGGGTCACTATTGTTTTGGCATTAACGAATGTTTTCTTTTTATTTGGAACTAGGACTTTCTTACTTAGTTTATTAGTACTAGTTTCTAGATCTCGGTGTTTGCCATAAAGTGCGAGGTTGAACGACACAGCTTCATCTTTCTGCGACAGAGGAGGAACGAACCGAGACAGACGTTTCCTAAACAAAACTTTTCATATGCCGTCAACAGGTATTCTAACGTGACAAAACATTGCTATAAACGTAAAAGTAAAATCAAAGGCCCAGGTGGGAGAGGTAGAGAGCAAATCGAAAGTGAAACATGCAAGGGCATGCACTCGAGTATACTCGCACATGGCACTCAAAAGGTTAAGTTGCTCTCCCGAACATCACTATTATTGGGAAATGATGCAACGAAGCTTGGCCAGACCATAGTGGATAATCTGGCAAATTGTAAGGAAATATACCGGTTATTATTGTGGCTTAATTATTCTCTGGTGAATAAATAATTGCAAGTTTCTAGTCTACAGATAAGTACGACACAAGCGGATCAGCTCGTGATACTTGTCAGCCAAGAAACCTTGGTGCAAAACTCTTGAAATAGGACTGGACTTTTTGTTGATTGAAAGACGTACACGGTTTTCTTGGGACCAACTAGTGGAGCGATCAGAACCCCCACTGTGGTTTTCCGGTGTCAACATAGAATATTTTGGAAAGAAAAGGGAGCAACATGACCCAAGAAATGAGATTCAAACATTTCTTACATCCGCCTCTCGATGTCGATCAAAGTTCAAAACTGATGGAAAAGCCCATATTCTATGTTATTCGGGAGTGCCCCCACCCCTTCTCTTGACAAGATGTCCTTAGCACTTGTGAAGCTTGTTATGCCCTGTCACCGTGTAGCTTGGCAAAAAGTTCCTCGACACTGAAGTGATTGAGAACCGCTGTGCTCACCTCAGAAATGATGCCCCCCTTTCCTTCCCGAGAAAAACTATGCGCAATTTTTCTGCCAAACATAAAATTTGCAGACATCTATGAGCATCTCTTAGTATTTAATGACCACTCAAAGCCCTTTTGTCAACCCTCCATAAATGAAGAAAGTTTGATACACTCTGGCACAACAAAACAAAAAGCATGGAACACTGAGCAGTCAGTTCAAAGCTTCGTGGCAATGACAACTGACACATGGTTTCATGCAGGCGCTGTGGGAAAGCGTTGTTCGGCGTGCAAGCAGTCACGGAAACTCCTGACAACTCGCCAGTGGAAGGCCAAGAAAGACGGAAAAGCACCGTTGGACTGTGTCACCTTTGTGTACAGCTTTGGCCAGCCGACAGTAGCAAAGTCGTAAAACGTTTTCGACCTCAAGTTCCACAAAAAGTTAGTTCTAGAAAGGCTTGGTTTAGCAAAGTTTCACCTTTCTGAAATAAACGAGTGCCAACAGGATCAGGACGGCAGGGCGTCTCTTTCGGATACCCGACCACCAGCACAGACTCGTCCCTGCTGTTTTCACCCTGTCAGCGACTAAAGTAAGCCTCTGTCATTGGCAGGACCAAACCAAGTGTGAGATGTGCCACCGGTCATGGTTTTACTCAAATTGTCTTGCTTGTCTTAGCCCGTCCTCCACTGCATTTCAAATCAATTTTTTTTTAAGCGTCTGTGTGAACCTTGTGTTTACTTCTGGTGTGCCCCACAGAGGGGTTTTGTAATAAGAATTTAATACCGTGTAAAATGTTATCATTTATTCTTTACATCAAAAGCTTGCCAGGAAAAAGTTGGATTGGCTCCATACCCTAAAATCCCGAGAGATAGCCCAGCTAACATTGAGAGCAAATCGGGTGAAAATATGGAGTGGGCTAACTTTGGTGTACCATCAAGAAAAGTTTAAAAAATAGCTATTTTTAAGTCATTTCCCTTCCAAGCTTGTTATGGTGATAAGGGGCAACGAAGCAAAGGTGACTGTACTTCCTAGTTTGCAACATTTGCTTATATTCCGCCATAGCTAATTAGCCGCATTTACGCTGAGGCCATCATTGATCCCAACACTACTATTACTAGTAGTGAGCTATCTTTTGGTGTTTGAAAAAATATAGCAAATCAAGCCAGAAATAGGGGTGGGCTATCCTTCGGGGGTGGGGCATCTCTCGGGATTTTACGGTAGTGTCGACTCACATTGCTTTATACAAAGCAGCTTGCTGTTAGAAGTCTGCTATAAAATGGGGCAACTTGGGGTGCCTCCATGTGCGCTTTGCTTAGGGTGGCCACAACGAACCATTTCTGTCCCAACGCTTTTGTTTCTTTTTTTGGTCAGAAGCACATGTGATAGAGCGTCTCCCGGCACAACCTCTAAGCACAATGGCGGCATTTTGTTTCTGTTTATGTCTTAGTATTTTCCCTGCGAGCGCATGCCGTCGGCACTGGGTATTGCAAAGAATGGCATCACCCTTAAGGCCCGTTCACACTCTTGCGACTGCTTGCGACCTCTTAAGCCTGGGTTCCTTAAAACTTCTTAAACCAGAAAACACACTGGCGCCATCTATTGGGAAGCAGTGTAAACTCAGCGGTCCGGCATTTTTTTTTTTATTTCTCGCGCAATATTCTTTCTTTTTTGGCTCGAAAAGCTTTTGTCAATGTTATAAACGAGCCTTTCTATGGGTATTACGCACATTTGACCTCGGAAATCCCGCAAAACCTTCGCTTTTGTGAAATGCAGTTCTAGGGTCACCGCATAGATGGCGCCACAATGTCAGTGTGTTCCCTCATTCGAGAAACATTTAAGAAGTTGTAAGAGATCTCGCCTCTCTCAGTCGTACTCGGTCGCAAGAGTGTGAACGGGCCTTTAAGGCCCGTTCACACTCTTGCGACTGCTTGCGACCTCTTAAACCTGGGTTCCTTAAAACTTCTTAAACCAGAGAACACACTGGCGCCATCTATTGGGAAGCAGTGTAAACTCGGCGGTCCGGCATATTTTTTTTTATTTCTCGCGCAATATCCTTTCTTTTTTGACTCGAAAAACTTTTGTCAATGTTATAAACGAGCCTTTCTATGGGTATTACGCACATTTGACCTCGGAAATCCCGCAAAACCTTCGCTTTTGTGAAATGCAGTTCTAGGGTCACCGCATAGATGGCGCCACAATGTCAGTGTGTTCCCTCATTCTAGAAACATTTAAGAAGTTGTAAGAGATCTCGTCTCTCTCAGTCGTACTCGGTCGCAAGAGTGTGAACGGGCCTTTAATGGAACATAGAGCAACTTCCCAGTGTGATTAGCTGTACTGAGTAATCTGCCCTCACAAACCTTTTGGGGCACATTGATACTTTAGACTGGGGGTGGCCAGGCTGACCCAACCTAAGAGCCGCAAACAAAACCATGGAAGTTCCAAGAGCCGGGGGGGGGGGGGGGGGGGGGAGGCAAACTTTTGTCTTGAGCAATAAAAGAAACTTGAACTACTTTCAATATATCAGAGTCAAAAGCAGTCCAACTGTACGTAAGGTAGCAGTAGCACAAGCCTACCAAACCGCGACCTATCTCGATTTAAAACGCGTTTCTTTTACCTTTTTGCCCTTTTCTGCATTGGAAAGCGTTAAATAGCCGAAAGAGTGGAACGGGCCGAGAGCAATGGCGTACCAACTTGTTTTTGAGTGGGGGGGGCAAACCCTATGGGCGCATGTGTGTGTGGGATGGGGGGGGGGGGGGGTTAGGGGAGGTAGCCGCGAGCCGCACTTTAGCATGTGAAGAGCCGCAGCTTGGTCACGCCTGCTTTAGACCTATCGTAAAATCCCGAGAGATGCCCCACCTCCGAAAGATAGCCAACCCCTATTCGTGGCTTGATTTGCTATACTTTTTTTAAACACCGAAAGATAGCCCACTCCTAGTAATAGTAGTGTTGGGATCAATGTTAGCCTCGGCATAATTGCGGCTAGTCAACTATTGCGGGATATAAGAAAACGTTGCTCACTGGGAAGTACAGTCATCTTTGCTTCATTGCTCCTCGCCACTATAACAAGCTTGGAAGGGACACAACCTAAAAATAGCAATTCTTTAACTTTTCTTGATTGTACACCGAAAGTTAGCCCACTCCATATTTTCACCCGATTTGCTCTTGATGTTATGTGGGCTATCTCTCGGGATATTACGGTATGTTGTAAAAAAAAACTCCAAACTCCGGTCTAAAAACATGCTTTTCGTGTAAGGCTTGTCAAATTGTAAGGCGCTGGAGAAAACCCGCCTTCTGCGTTAGTCCTTATTTCAAATTTTTTTTGTTAGCGTTTCGCCCATTGAAAAGCATGCGGGAAGGGCCGCAGCACAAAGGCCGTCTGCTTTCACTGCCGTCACAATGGCAACAAACGTTGATTTTCCGAACGCCGTCTGCTAGCCAAAGTTTAATAGTTTTGTAATGAGCAGCTGCAGACTGTCACCGCGAAGCGGCACGAACGCAGGTGAGTGTGTTAACACGCTTCCCCATTCGGCGTTCGTTGCCATAGTGAAGGCGATGAAAGCAGGTTTTTGCTGCGGAAGAACACTGGCGCAGTGATACGAGGTGCGTGCTGAGGCGCTTCCCACTTGCTTTTTCAATGGGCGGAATGCGTACAAAAAGAGTTTGAAATAAAGACTTGATGCAGAAGGCTCGTTTTCTCCAGCGACTCATATATTGACGAGCCTTACACAAAAAGAGTTTTTTTGGCCATCCCGCACTGTTTTTTTTGTTTTTTTTTATCCGAAACGTGGGTCTAATGTATGAAACTGCCCCTTTTGGTTCTCGCTGTAATTCACTACAAGGCTTCACACTTCCTACCTCTAGGTACATCATCTTGTGTAACAGGTTGCAACATGCTTCACAAAACGTAAGGACTAGACTAATCTTTGTCAAATATTTACAATGAACTACCGAAAGTATTCCTTCCCATTATGGTATGTGTGTAACTCAATTCTTTTTTTTAAGTTTTTACTCGGGTTAAGAACAGGGGAGCCCTCTTTATCATTCTAGCAAGTGTCAGAGTCTGAATCCTGATCAAACTATTTTCATCATTTACCCATTTCTCAATATTTGCCTTCCTTTTTGCACCAAAAAAATCTTCGAGTAGGGCAAAAGACAGCCACAACAACGAAGGATTGAGTCTAGGCATGTGCGAATAGTGGATTTTGAGTTCGAAGTAAATAATGGTTTTGCTTGAATATTTTAGAATCAAATATTGAATAGTTTCTGCAAGCCTTTCACTATTAAACTAAATCCCAGCTGAACTTGTGAAGGTTGTTCCCAAGCTTCCAGTTGTACATTTCTAGGCTAAGTTAATTTAACTATATTAATGAACTGTGGCCTCAGGAAGTTCAATGCCTACACCTGGATGACAAATAAATGATGCATTTCACATAAAATTAAACCCATAGAGATGCATAGCTATACCTAATTGAGGGGATTTCTAAATCTTCTGGCTATATGCAAATGTTGTTTCTTCAATCTCTAGTAAAAATGTAGAGCCCTTCCCCTTCACATGAAGATGGAGGACCAGTGAAGCTGTTATCTTTACGACGTCTAGGACGATGCCTAGAGGACGACGTCCAAAACAACCTCAAGGACGACGCCTCGAGGACAACGCCTAGGACGTCTCGGACGATGCCTAGAGGACGACGTCCAAAACGACCTCAAGGACGACACCTCGAGGACAATGCCTAGGACGTCGAGGACGATGCCTAGAGGACAACGTCCAAAACGACCTCAAGGACGGCGCCTCGAGGACAACGCCTAGGAGATCTAGGACGACTTCAGGACGACGTCTAGGAGGACTTTTAGGACAGCACCTAGAGAAAATCAGCCTTTCCACTCTGGTGAAAACCAGAGTGGAAAGACTGGAAAGGTTGCCGCCATCAATGAGCGACGGCGGCGATTAGACAACTGGTAAGCCAGTTGTCTGGTTGCCTTTGTCGCTCATAGATGGCGGTTGGTGTCTGGAGTTTTGTGTCAACATTTGTTTGTACGTGGACACGGTACTGGGGAAACTAGCTCCGCTATAAAAAAAAAAATTACGAATGATTAATGCAGGTTGTCTCTAACATTACTCTTGCGTAATAGTTTAATTTTTAAAATTCCACTGAAACATAAAAATTGACAGTCAAAAAGTTCATGTTTCTTTATAAATACCTCAGGTGCGTAAGTGCACCATCCTGCTTTGAAAGTCTGCTTCTCTCCTAAGCATGTGACTGCGATATTTGCACTTTTCAGAGAGTTGATTAGGGCGGGTTGGCCCCGTTGAGTGTGGTTCTTACCAAGCGTGGGTGCATCGTGGAGAAGCAACACCCACGGAAGCAAGCTTTGTGGTCATCACACCCGTGCTCGCCAAGCGCACTCCACGGGGCTAACCCGCCGCGACCAACACTTCGAAGAATATGAATGTAGCATGAAGCATATGTTGAATAGCGTATTATTCGAAACTACTATCTGAATATCTGCACAATCCTAGCATTGACTCAACAGGCAGGCAGTTTTTTTTGTCATTCTGTCGCCTCATGTGCCACTCCCGTAAATTTAATATCTCGGCGCCGAGTTATGACACCATTTCACCGCTGAAGGGTTGACCATCAAATCTGTGCAACCTACTCATCAAAAACGTAAAAAAAAAATAAAAAAAATAAACCTTTTCATATTGCACATTAGGAAGCTGGATGAGCATGACACTGACATATTAATCAGATGGGAGCATGCCAAATAATGCTGGTCTTTAAAAGAAACATCTGGGGGATACCTCACCCACAGAAAAAACGAAGTATATACCGTAAAAGTCCGAGAGATGCCCCACCCCCTAAAGATAGCCCACCCCTATGCTTGGCTTGATTTGCTATATTTTTTTAAACACTGAAAGCTAGCCCACTCTTAGTAAGAGTAGTGTTGGGATCAATGATGGCTTCGGTGTAAATGTGGCTAGTTTGCTATGGTGGGATATAAGCGAACGTTGCGGTCTGGGACATAGTCATCTTTGCTTCGTTGCCCCCCGCCACCATAACAAGCTTAAAGGGGCACTGACACATCAAAATCATATTTTTTTTTATTATCCGAAACGATTGAAAACGATGCCGGGACATTACCCTCAAAATTTGAGATTTGGGAATTCAGTATTCGTGAAGTAAAAAAACAATTTCCAAATGCCGAATTCGAAGTTCCCGCGCGATCGGCGCCGGTGCCTTGACGTCAAAAATCGCGGAGACCTGAGAGTCGACTTCCTTTCACCACTCGCTGCTGTTGCCATGGCGACCCAAAGCGAGGAGGAAAGGAGCGAGCGCCCGGCGTTGCGGCGGACCGGTTTTGAGCGGTGTCGCCTGTTTTCCGTTGGAGGACACAAATCCAGGAGACGGCACCACAACGAACTCCCGATTTTTGGTATTTCAAAAAGAAGGGCCGTAGTGCGTTCGCAATTGCGTTAAAAAACATGTTTTAGGATTGCCGTAATTAAATGTTATAGAGATGTCGCCTACAAAGCTTCTAAATTTCCTGATTTTTGACGTCACCGATCAAAAGAAGCGAGGAGGCGAGACGCGGGAAAATCAAACGCCAAAAATAAAAAGGCGCGCGCGCGCGCGGGAAAATTTTTTTTCGCGATGCGTTTTTTTTTGCGTGTCTATGACTGCAACTTGCATCGTTTTAGACAATAAAAATAAATACGACCTTTGGGGTGTCAGTGCCCCTTTAAAAGGGGCACGACCTAAAAATAGCAGTTTTTAAAACTTTTCTTGATTGTACACTGAAAGTTAACCCAACCCATATTTTCAGCCGATTGGCTCTTGATGTTAGGTGGGCTCTCTCTCAAGATTTTATGGTAATAAATGAATGCCACTAAACTGCTACACTATGAAAACAAGGTGGATACAAGTGATGTTTCACCCAAACTCTGCAGATAGCCAAAACCACAACAGCAGATGTGTTAGGCAACACCTGATCACACTGGTTGTCCAAACTTTGCCCCCGTCTTTATGATGCAGCGTATTAGTGAAGGGCACAGATGAGGTACCTCTTGAAAGAGACGTTGCCTTCTTTTGGCTTACCCAGTGTCTACGCCAAATTTAGCCATATGGGATCACCAGACACCCTCGGCAGTGTAGATAAGGCGACCGAGTGCAAGGGCAAGCGCTGTCGTAACCGGCTCCTCCAAGCTGCCTGCTCTTCGCACTACCAAACTGCCAAAACAAGTAAATATGAAGCTTAGGCAATGTTTCACATGTACCATTTTATAGATTCCTTTGGTCATTCAAACAACAGAGCCACATTCATATACCTTGATGCATCATTATACAAGTACCTATAAATATGAAATCGCCCATGTTGCCAAGTAAAGCTACAACATGGTTCACCCCACACTGGCCCAGTGTCGTTGGGCCAGATGCGAGTCTTCAGTAACAAAAATGCAACCTATGGTTTTCCTTAAGACAATTGGTACGCAGTCTTCAATTCACCGCCGTAACGGCTCCAACTAGTTTCTCCTACCCCAGAAATCCCCAAAATACAGTAGCTAAATACAGCAGCCAGAGACGGAGATATGAGACTGCAATGCACGGTGGTCCCAACTCTTGTGAGGAGCGAGAGAACATCTGTCGGAGCAGGCTTGACACAGGATGGCTTATAAACCCACCGAGACTGCGCCACACGATTCGAACCAGCGACGACGGACGACAAAGGATAAACACGCACATCACAACGCAGCTCGGAGAGCCGAGCTGCATTTGCGACGTGCGTCTGTCCTTTTTCCCTTTTGTCGTCCATTGTCTCCGGTCAGAATTGTGTGTAACATTAACCGGCTCATGTGTTTATTAATTAACCTCATCTTTTTTTTCCTGAATTCATATCGTAACAGTATTTTGGTTCAATTAGTCCAGAGCAATCTAATAAGGGACAGGGATTTAACCATATTCTGTTCACTTTATCGGCAGAATGAATGATATACGTACCGGCGAGAGCATGGTGCTTCGCTCACAGAACCACTTCTGCGACCGGGGTTCCACCTTAAATCCAGTATGGTGGTGAACCAAAAGCCCTTTAGCAACGGTCACCCGTCGCCCAAGACCGATTCATCCTGTAGCTAGTGCTAAGAGATGTAGCGTCTCCATAGTATGCGAATAAAGTAGCGGTAATCAATTATCCTTCTGCCAGCTCGTTTGAGCCTTCTATACTCCGTTTCACCTTAAGACAAACCATGGAGGATAGTATGAGCCGCGGAAGCTGATCCAACGCCGCGCGACATTCGGGAGGGGTGCAGCGATGAGCGGAGCGTATAGTTGCGCGACATGATTGTAGCGCCGGATTGGCTGGGAAGTCTCGAAGCTTCTACTGCGGTCCACCGTAAGGTGAAACAAAGTTTGGGTGACGTGCGCCTAGAAAAAGGAAGTGGAAAAGGAGGGAAGTGTAAAAAGCAGGGAGGAGCTGTCACTACTTTTCTACGTAGAGAAATGTTAAGTCTAGTTCACGAACTTGCGACTGCTTATGACCGGTTGCGTAACGATCTCTTGCGACGAGAGCACGCTGGCACCACCTATCGGGCAGGCACGAAACACTCGCAATTTCTGTATATCTCCTATTTTTTACGCACATCATTCTCTCACCACTTTCATGCTTTCAACTGTAGACAATGTTATAAAGGACCATTTCTCATACATTTAGTACATTTGATCAGGCAAACACTGTAACACCTTTGCTCTTACGAAACATACCTAGTTCCAGGGCCACCTTACAGGTGGCGCTAGCGTGTTCTCTCGTCGTGAGACATTGCGAGGGTCTCACTCGGCACTCGGTCGTAAACGAGTGTTTGAAACAGTCTTTATAAAGAGTGCCTCGTGCTATCCCTGGCGCATGTTCCCTCGCTCTCCCAACAAGAGTGAATGATCCCCGCACATTGCAGGCGCTTAATGATGCCCTATGTACACAAAATGGAACTACTAGGAGACTGCCGGGGTTTCAGTCAGCTGGGGTGGCTTGGGGGATGACCAGCCCTGCCGAGAGATGCTGAACCCGCCGGGGGTGCGCTTGCGGTGCTCCTCCTCCGTCTGCCACTCCATCTTCTGCCTGTTCTGCTTGACCGCGTCCCGCACGCGCTCCATGATCATGGCTTCCGTGAGGACTCCGTCGTCCGAGGCATACGCGGCCGCCTGGTGTGAGAAATGGGAATGGGGCGCACCTAGTGAGGTGAAGAGGCACCTTGTTGTCCAACGACTACAGTGTTTGCTGGAGTAATAGAGGCACGCGGATAAACATAATAGAAGGAGCATGCAGATAGCCAATTGTCGCGGTCGACAAAAAGATGCCAGCAAATTACGGGGACAGAGGTGACAAATTCACGCGAAAATGCTGACTACGCAGATTGCATTTTTACGAAGTGTCATGTTCTTGGCCTTGTTATTTGGTATGTTTCTCATGCAGAATGATGGTTGACTGTATGTGTGTTGTGCAGGAAAGTAGATGCAATTTGTGTAGTTTTGTTTGTGTTATTTTTTTTTACTTTTCTCAGGGTTTAGATTATGATGTTTCCTAACCAACTCGCCTGCATACTTTCGCTCCTTGAAGATGCAAGGGCCTTGTTCATAAGTAGTGCATCTGTTACTTGAGTAAATGCAGTACCAAGCAACCACAGTCTGATAAAAAATGAGCATCTAAAAATGCTGCAACTGCCAAGGACAAAAACAAGAAACTGCGAGGGCAAGAAAAAAGTAAAAGCAAATTAGACATTTGCATTTGAACAGCGTGAGGTCGGTCTGCCTTTGAGGTATGCCAGTGCTGGTTTATGCTGTAGACCTCAGGCTAACAGTCATATTACACTGACTAAATTTCTCTTCTGGTGTCACCATATAGGGGCAGACCTATACTCCGTAATACCTAAGCTGACAGTGCGGTGAAACCTATGTTCTCACTGAACCAGTCTAACGTCTATCCTACGCTATGCAATCAGGCTCTCGCCCATACCTACGCACAGGCAGCGGAATCAGGTGATGAACACAAGGCGGTTGATTGGTCCGGTAAGCACATAGCTCCTACCGCCAGGGTAGGGCTGAACGAAGTATAGACCAACGCGCTGTTTACAAGCAAGTCCACATTTGCCCACACTTGGCACCGCAGCAACCAGATTTGGGTAAAGTGAAGCGTCTGCATATGCAGACAGTAGTGCCACCGCAGTAGCGTGACGTCACGTGTTAGTGCCTAGCTCGCTCTGTGCATACACTGGCATCTAATTTGCTTCTGCAGTAAAGGACTCAAACACGCTCTGAGCAGGAGGAATAGTTTGATGTGCCACTATGCTACAACTCTTTTGTATTTTACTGAAGTAATAATAATTGTATTGTATGTATGTTTATACAGCTGGACGTTAGTCAGCCTCAATGGGCAAATGGTGTCTCAGCTATAGATGAGTAACTTAGGCAGAACAGTGCAACTGATAGCCTGGAATCTTTAACGTGCATCACGCAGTAGTGATACATGACCGCACGCGAGCACGATGCTCATCTGAAGTGCTTTCGAATATTCCGTGAGAACTACTCTGTTGAGCAGTTATGGAAAGGTCAGCTCTTCCCATAACACTGATCAACAAAATTTATTCTATTTGCATTGCTCCCAAAAACAGTTTGGGGGGAACTTTACTTCACAAAACAAGGACGTCAAATTTGAGGTATACGTATGTGAGGTGGTATCGAAATATTTCTAAAGTGGCAACACTTCACAAGAAACAAAACACAGCACACCCGTGCACTGCGAGGTGACTCTTCCAGGCTACTTTGTCAATCAACGCGATAAGGGTCATTGTGCCGAGTGAATGTGACCCTGTGCTGCGCTTCAGTGTTGAACACATATTTTATGACTTTTTTATCTGCGAATGACATGGACTTTTCAAACGCAGCCACAAAACACTTCAAGGCAATGAACGGGTAAGACACCCTTTGACACATCCGCCTAAGTGCAGCAGCTATTGGTACGAAATAAAATGTTCGTCGTTCCACTCCCTATTTTGCCACCTGTGACTTTTTAATCTTCCATAGAACAAAGACACAGCTCAATGGACATATGGTGCAGTTGAAGATATACAAAAAAAGACGAGGGTTGTGCTAAACAGCGTAAAGGAAAAGGATTTTCAATAAGCATTCCACCAATGGCAGAATAGGTGGCCCCATTGCATCAACTCCAAAGGAGACTACCTGTTGGCCACTGAAATCTCGGACCAGTTTGTAACTTTGTATAGCGTCAGCTCAGAAACTTTTCAATAGCAAATTGTTCACAGGATGAGTTCTTCCCACATGTAAATTCCTTTGCAGTGCTGAGACAGGTTGTACATTTTAAATCGGTAGCTTTATAAGGCTAAGCAACTTCAGGAGCCCATAGGCAAGAAATGTGTAGGCCAGTCGGTATGCAAACGCTAAATGATCTTGAAACAAAAGACAGTAACCGGTGCCAGAGATTGACCCAGTCACCAGCGTGGAAGCTGAGGGCACTGCTGACCGAGCTATGGAGCAGCATGCAGGAAAGAGATGAGCAGAAGCAGGTGGTGTGAGAAGGCATGCAGAGTGGACAGGGGTGGAAGGGGCAAAGAAAAGAGGAGCAGAAACAGGTGGTGTAGAAAGACTGCGGAACAACAAGGAGTGAAAAGGGCAGGAAAGTGCGCTTCCCCTCTCTTGGTGACCCAGAAACTTCAGCGCAAAGGCTATGTATCAGGCTGGTGCTAAAGAGAAGTGCATGCAGCCTAAAGAAAAGACAATATAACATAGTCTCTTTCCATACAAAACCCTGCCCTAGGCACCACCTGAACTAAGAGCACCACCCATTCCAGGCACTGAAAGGTTAGCGGGTCATCCTGCCCCAGGCACCACCCGAATTAAGAGCACCCATCTTAAAGGGTTACAGCATTTAAATGCATTTGGCAAAATGGCCAAACATGCAGCCAATTTTTTTTTTCAGAAACAAGGCAGATTTGTGTTATCAGTTAAACCATTAGCATGGAACCTGGGACTGTGACGAGATACACAACGAACCTCTGGTTGGATCGATCTTGGCTTTTGGAGCGTCTTAACAACTGGGAAATTGTGGCTGGTACACAACTTCACAGTATCGACAAGAGGACAACAAAAAGTCTTGCTGCTGCTCAGGGTTGAATCTAAGCCAGGGAGATGTATGCAAAGTGTGGAAACCGGGCTGTGCCAATAGAACGTTCATAGCAATATAAACATTGTTATAATGTTAATTAACTACTTGTTAATGTTCCTCAGAAGCAACATTTAAAAGTCTGATGACAGCAGCCAAATGTAACAAGAGCACCAGATATGAGACAACCACCAGCGTTACCAGCCAGTGCTCCTAGCCCTGGTACCACTTAAAACATTGATTCTTGGACTTATGTCGAGCAGCTTTGCTCTATTACATAACAGCGAAAGTTGGCTTCTTTTCTGTAGCAACTACAAGAGCCACTGAATAAGCTATGCTTAGAGTATTTGCATCCCATTCCCCGGGTTCCTACAGGGCGTCGCCATTTTGGTGCTTAGTGCACATCAAACACAATTAGTGATCGTCACAATTCGAAAATGCGACTTCCTGAGCTTTAGTTGTGGTATCAGAAGGCTCAGGCAATGCTGTTTTACTCTGTCACAGACTGTTTTAACATTTCTGGAGGACAGAAAACCGTTCGCAAAAATGTCAGATAAAGCTTCAGATGACTGGCCTCAATGATTGCACAAAGATGGTTGAAGTAGCGCTCCTCTGAAGCGTAGGTTATTTAGTAGCTCTGGCAACTTACAAGCAGAGGAGTGTGGGCAGACACCTATACAGTCCCAAGAAGCGAGTCTTACCTGCCAGGTGACACCCAGCTTTGCAATCTCCCTGCCGGACAGCCCGTCGGTGACTTTGGCAATCTCGGAGCAAAGCTTCCCGTAGTCGAACTGTGCCACTTTCAGCCTCCTGCAATTGCCAAGAACAACCATCTTTTCCTTTACATCTTTCTGGGTGACCAATACAGTTTCCTCCCCAAGAGGAAACCATTTCAACACAAGACTGACAACAAACTAAAGGCTACAAACAATATGCACTTTTTTATTCCTTACATTTTTGCTTTCCGTGCAAGTGACAAAACAATCAACGGGTCCTTCCTATGTCCATTAAGGTACACCATGAAGTACAGCTCTTCCAACTGGGCATCCTGAAGAAACTTGGCGTGAGTGTCATAATGCTGTAAAATCCTGTATGAACGCCCCCCCCCCCTAAGGAATCACTGATACCCTTTTTCTGGCTAAATATCAGTAACATAAAATTCTGAAACACCCACCCCCGATTTCTGTGTTTTGTTAATCGTGCCGCTGTGAACTCACTTGTGACAAGTGATTTCACAACGGATTCCCGCGTTTTTTGTCCGCAATCTGCGCACGCAATATGGGTTCCCGTGGCACGGAAGTTTGCAGCAGGTTTTTGTGTGTTTATCGTGACGTGAAAGGCAAATTTGCCGTGTCCGCAATCTGCGGTATAAGTTCCCGCGTCACGTGGTTTCAGTGTTTATCATTAAGCTTGGTAAAGTTTTGCTGTCTCGTCCCCAAAGACAGCCCACCTCATGTTTTTCAACATTTATCTTTTTTTTTTTTTAAATTTGTGTGGGTGCCTTTACAAGATATTATGGTATCCAAAATCTTCATTTTCTTTTTTTAAGGCTACATAAACTGATTTTATTAACTCCAACAATCAGTAAGGGTATCTCGGGACTGAACCGATCATAGCCATTTGATTAAATAAGTATACACTACAACTTCCAACTGTGCCCAATCTGCCCAATCAAAGTATAGAGGAAACAGGAGCACTTAAGTGAAGCGAGTGAGAGTGGGTTGTGCTAACCCATTGAAATCTGATTCCAAAGAGCGAGTTGCCTTAGAGACAAGTTTGTATCTCCCACGGTGTACTAGTAGCATACAAAATGCAGCAAATTATTGCAAAATCTGCACATTGGCAAACCTGAATCTTTGTGGACTGATATCATTAGTGAAAACCTTACCCTATCACCACCAGATTTCTAAATTACCATTGTACGTAACTATCAAGGAAAACCTCTAGTCAAAAAAGAAGGTCAACCTCATAGTATAACATCACAACATGATGAAAATGCAGAGTTCATATCGCAATGAGCATGACAGACAAGTGTCCCTGTTTGTGGGCACAAAGCTCTTTTAGTGACCAACTCTAAACCAGCCCTACTCCCGATATCGTTGCCAATACCACAGGAATCTGCATTCTCTTGTTCTGGCAGCAGCAGCAGTGATGTGATTGGCCTAAGCCGTTTTGGAGCACCTTTTGGAGCAGCCAAAACGGTGTTTTGGAGCAGCAAAAGTTGCTTTTGGAGCAGCCAAAAGAGTGTTTCGGAGCAGAAAAAGTGGCTTTTGGAGCAGATATTCTTAGAAAAATAAACATATTCCTTTTAAGTGCTGGACGAACGAAGGACACTTCGCTCGTCGCAATAAACAAATTATGGTCAAGTTCGACCACCTGGGAATCTTCCAACATGTAACTGAAATGCCAATGACATGACACATTTTGCAATGCTTCAGTTAAAATATGCATATATATGTACCGTTAAAGATAAATAAGAACCAAATTGCACATAATAAAATTTATTTGAAAATGACCAGCTTATTAGTAAATATCACAGCATTAGGTTGACTACCGTAGTTATATAATATAATAAATGGAAGCTGTCTCCAACTGATGAAACACATAACTACTGCAGTGCAATGCGAAATTGTACTCAAGACAAGTGTGCATTAAGACTAGCGGGTGCTTTTCGTTTTGCTTTTCGAAACTTTCTACAAGGCTGCTGCAAGCCTCGCATTGCCTTTGGCTAGTAATGAATTTCCACTTTCAACGTCGCCTAGAGACATTGATACATCTTACAAGTGAACAGTGCTGTGGGCGTTGCCGAGCAATTCTGAAAAACCGCTTGCCACCGTTTTACTGGTTCCCGAAGTGCCAGATTTTCGTCAAAAGTAAGCAAACGTAAAACATTGGGTTGCAAGCGTCCCGGCTGGTGCCTCTGTCGTGCAGTCATGTTCGCATGCACATGAGGGCAACTTCGGCAGGCTTGCATTTGCACGTGCTTCGTCGCGTGAGCGGAGATGGCTGTTCGATCGAAACAGACACCATGCCACTCCGCTCCGTCACCAAGTGGTTCCCAAAATTGTATGCAAAATGTAATTGCCCAGCATACGACAAAAAACAGTCCAGCGGCACGTGCTTGCCAGGCCGGCAGGTGAGGACACACAGAAAAAAGAACCTGAGAAAGTCAGGTCAAAACAAGACATCGCGAGTCAGGGTCAAAAAGTGCTTGGAGCGCTTTGTACAGCGACTGAAGCACTCAAGCGTCAACACACGCCCGCGTCTATTGTTGAAATCTTTTTTTAAAAAGATGCGAGACGAGACATATGAACGACTGGAGCGTGAAACGAGAGGTGGCGGGAAAAACTATGCAAGACCGGATGGACGATTGATACAGGATACTTTTTGTTGGGCGGCCGCTTGCGCTAATTAGCTCATGCATGCTCAATTACGGTAGTCAGTTTAGTTTCGGTTTTGAAAGACGACCAAAATTAGTCTTTTGGCGCAGGCTTGGCGCAGAGTACCCATTTTTTGGCAAAATGTAGCAGGATGTAGCAGGGTTAGCCCCTTGGCGCAGTTTGGCGCAATTGGCGCAGCAATCACATCACTGCAGCAGATAGCCGTCAAACTATACAGTCCAACATATTCAAAGGTACAACTGAAAACAACAAAGGCAGCTAAGACCCCTAATATTATAGACCTCAAGTGTTTGTCAAATTTTGCAAATGTCTAACCTCGCAATAATGAGGGCACACAACGATCCTCGCCAAGCATTAGAAGATTTGACAGCTCACCGAAACTCGTATAAACTTCAGGGGTCGCAAGCGTAATACATGTGCACCAGTCGGCATAAAAATTAAGGGGGACACTACCCAAAAAAGTGAACGTTTGAACCACTTGCCTGATTTAAATGACATTTACAGGGCTTGTTTCTGTTGATGTTGAGAACATTTGTGCCAAATTTTGTTCACCTCAGTAAAGTACAAAAAAAATTGCAAATGTTCAAAGATGAAGGTGGGCGTGTCTGCATAGAAAAACTATAGCGTTGAAATTACTTATAAATTTGTCGTTTTCATGTGTTATATTGCTTTAGGACAGTTCAGAGCAGAAAGCTATGGAGCTATATTTTTATATTATACCATCTTTCATGACAAAAAAAACACATAAACACAAATACTGTTTTTTAGATTTCCATCCTTTGTCCAAAAGTTCAGTCCTTAAAGGGGCACTGACACATCAAAATCATTTTTTTTTTATTATCAGAAACGATTGAAAACAATGCCAAGACATTACCCTCAAAATTCGAAACTTGGAAATTCAGTATTTGTGAAGTAAAAGAACAATTTCCAAATGCCTAATTTGAAGTTCCCGTGCGATCTGCGCCATTGCAGTGACATCAAATTTTGCGGTCTCCCAAGAGTCTACTTTCTCTTGGACCTCTGCTCCATGTTACAAAGCAAAGCGCTGTTGCCACTGCGACCTGAAGCGCCGGCCGAACCGGGAAAAAAGCGGTTTCTTCCCCCGACTCACCGATCATCCTCTGCTCGAGCGCCGCCAAGTTTTCCGAGGGAGGATACAAATCCAGGAAGCGACATCACACCGAACTCTGATCTTTAGTATTTCAAAAAGAGGGGCCGTAGTGCGTTCGCAATTGCGTTAGAAAACATGTTTTACGATTGCCCTTATTAAATGTTATAGAAATGTCGCCTACAAAGCTTCTAAATTTCTTGATTCTTGACGTCATTGATCAAACGAAGCAAGGTGAGCAGCGGGGGAGAAAAGCGCGAAAAATAAAAAGGCGCACGGGCGCGTGAGAAATTTTTTTTTCTCAATGCGTTTTTTTTTTTTTTTTTTTTGTGTACGACTACAACGTGCATCGTTTTAGACAATAAAAAAAATATGACCTTTGGGGTGTCAGTGCCCCTTTAAGCATGAAAAATTACAAAAATAAAAAATACACGCTCATAGTTATCTTTCCCTTAAAATTTCAGCCCAGAAAAACTCATAAAAATGAATCCAAGTTGCATAATAACTTGCCCAACAAGAAGCTATTTTACAGTGCAAAATAACAAAATGATAGTTTTCCTAAAGCGAAATTTATGCCAAAAAGTGGAATAGGGAAAAATGCGTTCAAAGTGCTCCAACTCTCTATCTTTTCTTTAGCATCGGTGGACAGAAAATAATTTATAAAAAATTAACTACGCAGTATAAACTAATTAAACTTTCTGGGAATACTCTCTAGGTAATGGTGCATGTAAATATGACATTTTTCAAAACCAACTTTTTTGTAGAAATGCTTTTTTTTGGGGTAATGTCCCCCCTTAAGGGTTTCACGTTACAGCTTTCAATGCATGCACCTACCGTAAAATACCACGGTAGTGCCCACTTCGTTCAAGCGCCCACTATTAACATTTTCTAAACTTGGGAATTCTGCAAATTATACTTTAACTGGCCAATTTGGCCAGACAAGGGCCCATGTCTAGATTAACCCAATTTTCAGTGAAAAGGGGCGAGCGTTTAACCGGTATTTTACAGTAGATATGTGCCCAAAGTTTCGGTTTTCTCGATATCCAAAATAGTCGGCCTCTGCCAGCCATTTGCCACACATGCCTCTGCACACCACACAAGAGCGACACGCTCCCACAGGGTCGCCTCCATGTGAGTGCTCTCACCTCTTGCCCTCCGCAGCCGGCTGGAGCACAAACTTCTCGAAGTACAGTCGCACCATGCGCTCCCGCTCCTCCAGCCCGGGCAGTTGGAACTCTACCATCTCGTCCACGCGGTCGCTCACCGCCCAATCAAACTGCTCCGGGGTATTACTGGCCAGCACCAGCATGAACCTGCAGGAGCATTCAGCTGATAAGGGACCCTTGCCAGGGGGGGTCGTCCCCAAATCCAGAGGTAGGAAGCTTCTGGAGACGATATGACGCCACCAGATGTGAAGCCAGAAGTGTGGCCAGAAGTGTGGAGGGACACGCCCCCAACGATGACCAAAACCAGGAGACGCTATTGGACGAAAAGGGCAGCTGACAGCTGTTTAGGTCACCCTCGGGCAGAGCAGTGTATAGAGAGAGTTTGGTCAATGGGAGGTGCCGGGAGAGTCAGGGCGTGCACCAGATGCAGAAAGAGGGCTTGACATGCTCTCTCGGCCAACCAGAAGTTGAAAAGAATCCCCTAGCGGTGGTCGCGAGAAACAGTTTTATCATAGGTTTATGGTTTTAATAAGCGTGTGAGAGTTAAATGTAGTAACCTTTCATGCTTGAAAATAGGGTGCACGTGATGTTACGATCATGATCATGCAGAAAGATGTGAGAAACAAATGTGCCGCTCAAACTCTCTTTTGCTCGGACAGAGTGTGACCACTCGGACGGCAGATTCCCAGCCCCTGGCGCCTGGTGTACGTTTCTGTCGATCGTCCCACTACTTGCGCTCTTCCATCATAACCTTAGAAGACCGTGATTGAAACATCACGTGCACCATATTTTTAGTCACTGAGAGTAACTCCGACGCACTTATAAATTTCGTTTTTCGCGACCACCACCAGGGTATTATTTCCGGCTCTTGGTTTGCCACACTCTAATTTGTGAAAACGCCCTGAAACACGCCCAGCCCGCTTCCGGCCAATGGCGCCTCCTCATTTGTCTCCTATACTTCCCAAAGAATGGCCAAACTCTCTATACATACGGCTCTGCCCTCGGGGTTTCTGGCCTGACCTCTGGTGGCGTCATGTTGCCTCCAGAAGCTTTCCACTTCCATCCCTGAATCGCTCTAACATGAAAAAGGAAATTTTTTCCGTTCTCACGTTTCTCACCTTAGTATTTTAAAGTGTTTAAGCATTGGGCAACTTAAGGTTGATTCACACAATCGAGACTGGTCTCTTACCTAGAGTTCCTGTATATGCTACCTACGGTAGCAGAGTTGCGCATTCAGCCTCGGCGGGTGGCCGTAGCGCCGGCTTTCCCGCAAGCCATGGATGCTTTGCTAATCACGTGACTAAATTTAGCGAATAGCGGCGCCGCGCGCGCCGCCGCGCATGGAAAACAGGAGAGGAGGAGAAGGAGGGCGAAAGCAGGGGAACATACGCCGGGGCGCGAAAAACGTCGGCGGAGCGACCGTAAAGGTGGCTTTCTTGCACGCCACTGGATGCTTTGCTCCTCACGTGATGGGTATCGGCGAATAGCGGCGTGGCGGCGCGGGGAAAACAAATGCGCAACTCTGCTCCCCCTTCGGGGGATCTATACAGGAACTCTAGTCTCAACCGAGTGTGCGACGCCCTCTCGTGATCTGTTATGACGAAAGGACAGACTGGCAAGCCGGGGCTACCTATAAGGCAGCCCTGGAATAGCATTTCACTACAGGGAAGGTTTAGCAGCATTTGTGAGATCAAATGTATGCGCCATCTACGATGAACGTTCATTTATGATGTCGTCGAAAGATTTTTGAGCTTGCAGCAAAAGAATGACGCGCAATACAAATATAGGTAACGTACGGAAATTCTGAGCATTTCAGGGCTACCCCGATAGATGGCGTCACTGCGTTGCTTAGTCGGAAGAGATCAAGAGGCAGCACAACGCACTCGGTTGCAACCAGATGTCACCGCGTGAGCCAGTCTTTACGAGAATAGCACGGATAGCGAAAGAAAGAGCCAGATCATGTATTGCAACACTAGCGTGTGGTTGACGAACTGCGAAATCTTTTTGTGCTCGTGCCACTCCAAACCACCCAGATTTTTTGGATGTTACACAGAGCTGGATCTACACATCCGTCCATTGGCCCATCCTACTAGAGTTTTGCATTTAACTGTGAAATAGACTTTCGATGATGAGGGTTCGGACCGTTCTTATTGCCCCATGCAAGAAACCACACTGGTATTTTCCGGGAATGACGATTCAATTTTTGCACATTCCAAGTACAGTGTAGACCGCATATAACGTATGTCTCGGGAGTCGCGAAAATCCGCACTATAAGCGGTACCGCACTATAACCAAAACATCAATTTTTCAGGCCTAAATACATGCCATGAGACAACTTACCTTTGTAAAAGAATTTATTTTATGTTAGATGAAAAAATAAGCTTAGTTTGAGGAAAGTCTTTATTTCAATAGACGAGTACAGTTATGTCTCAAGTGTGTCACACATTTTAAAAGAAATTAGCGGCTTTTGCCTGGAGCAGCCTTTTAACGGCGTCGCGGGTTGCGGACGGACGTTGCGAGCGTTCAGGATTGCTAACCCTAATCACTTTTCTCCGGAGATGAAAACGCGTGAAAATTCGCATCCTTCATACGGTACGTGCCAGTAATACCTTGAACTTGAGCACACGCATGAAATGTGCCAAGTAAGAAATCCGGGCGATGTTCGAGGACACAAATGCTTAGAAGTCACCACTGTAGTCGAAGTAAACAAACACAACGACACGGGCGTTTCTGCCGTCTTGAGAGCGCCGCCACGACATCGCCGCACGAGTAGGTGGATCTTCCCTTCTAGTACGTGCTGGGTTATCATAGCGACACACAACGAAAATTCAAAGTCAAGGATAGCGCTTTTACGCAGAACGATGAGATGTACGCCGTCTACGACGACGATCACAACCGACGCCATGTTCGCGGAATGGCATGCACCGCGCGCGAACACTTCTCCTCGACCCGCGATTGGTCTGTCGTTGCGGTTGTTTGTTTCTTTGTTTCCAACGCAGTGGAGAGATGCACGCACGTGAACGACTCGTGCGTGCGTCCCTCCGTTGCTATGGCAACTGAAGCCTCTCTCTTCGCTTCTCCCCGCGTTTTCGAGCAACCTCCTTGCCCCGCGAGTGCAGTTTGCGGCTCGCGCCGTCAGCGCTGTTATCTAGTGTCGCACAGGGAAGCGAGCTCGCTGCTCCGGTCGTCGGCGCGGTCGGCGGGCTGTGCCAAAAACCGCACTATAACCGGTATTTCCCTTCGCGCGCCTGCATTTTAAGCGGCATGTAATTACATGGAGTTGTATGGGAGGTGAACCGGTGGTTTAAAAAAACCGCGTTATACCCGGTCCTGCACTATAAGCGGTTACGTTGTAAGTGGTCTATACTGTATGAGACTTGCAAACCGGAGCAGGATCAGAGTTCAGTGATGCAAGTGAGCTCGTTTGTCAGCAACAAACAACATATCTTAAATAACAATAACAAAAAAAACCTCACTTGTTGGACTGTTCTCCAGTTCTGTACAAGAAGGCGTTTAGCGTTGCTCGAAGGTCCTCGCTGATCATTTCCTGTGAAAGAAAGTTGAAAATCGAACTGCAAAACACTTCATAAAGTGCAACCTGAGTCACAGTTGCCTATCAAGACTCGCCACACAGCAGAGCAAATTTCGACAAGAAATCACGGTCTCCAATAAAAACATTTCGAAACAAAGATGAAAAGCTCGGGTTTACAAGAGCCAAACAAATTCTCAGTTTTCGTAATTTTAATATGCATAACTTTGCAGTATCTAAGTTGTGTTTTATTCCGTCACACATCCCACCCGAAAAGTGTGAACAAGGTTCTCACCGAGCTCCGCTTCCTCAGGAAGGCATCTGCTTCATCAACAAAGAGGAGTACACTGAAAACAGCAGAAGAAAAAATTAAAAGGTAAATAAAAAAAGAGTGCAGAGAAAGGCACTGCTTGTTACTTGCATACAATACATGTGCATTTATTGTACTTTGCGAGAAACTCAAAATGCAAAGGAATTACAGGTGACTCTCATTTCAAATAAAGCACACACTTTGAATAAAAAAAATAATGTTTAAACCACTCATCCTTCTGTACTATTAGTAACCTTCTAGTACGAGAAAAAAGGCCCGATTTCCTCAAGTTGTGGTTTCAAACAAGCCACAGTAAGCACACTTCCCACGTCAATGCTCTTACAGCTCAAAACAATGAGCTCGACAACTGCCGAAGCAGTGACTTCATCAGCACCACTCATCAACCTTTCCCTTTCTTCGTCAGATTGAGAACTTTGTAATTCCCACAACAAGGCAGCCTGGTGTCAGTGCAGATGATCAAGAGGCACAACCGAATTTGAGTCAACTGATGTAAACACGCAAAGACAAGGACGCAAATGGATGAATGAAATTGCTTTGAAATTGAAATCCAACCAACGTACAAATGACATTAAGTCCTGCTTGAATGCTTGCTCTTTTCCTTCTTCCTCGAGGAGAAAGGAAGAGAGTGGTCACTGCTCATGCTACATTGCTTGCTCTTCCTCTCTTAGGAAAGGGAGCAAATAGCGCATTGGTGTGGCAGTGTGTTGCCACAGAGGCGATGATTCGAGGTGTAGCTGGTTGCATAATGCTGTGGACGGTGTAATCACTGTTCTCAGATTCAAGTAAAGTTAGTTTCACAGAACTTCACAGAATTCCAGAACTCTTAGTCTTATGGATCAAGATGAATCAGCTAGACAAGTTCCAGATATTTTTTTTTTTCTCTCTGCAAGTAAACAAACAGCAGCCAGTATCTCTTCATCCTTCTTACAGATTGCATATTTCAAACACAACAAACTGTAGAGGGAAGAATCAGCATGGCCACTTACCCACGTCTGCTGGTGTGGGACCAGTCAAAGACCTTGTGGACAGCAGAGACCCCCTCGCGTCCCATGGGCGCGACATCACCTCCACTCATGAGTGCATACTCCATGCCGGAATGCTGAGCCAATCGCTACAAAAAATACAAAAAAAACAATGTGTCGCCTCAGTCAGCCACAGACAAACTGGAATAAAAATCCACACAAAGGTTTCCCTCTAGCTGCCGCCACAGATGTAATGCAATAGCATTACGCCTCCTTCGGCACGGTGGCCACGAGACAGTGGTCACGTTACGTCAAAATGTTATGATGTCACGCCGTGGTGCCGCATGGCATCACTTGACGTGACACAGTGTCATGAGGACCAACGCCACAAAGCGCTACCATGATGTCATCTGACCTGACGTCTCGTGACGTAGTCATGTGGTTGGTGTCGCGCAACTTGGTCGCATATTAGCGTAACCACCGTGACGTTGACGTCATGTGACAGTGTTACATGGCGTGAAAAAACACGAATTGTATGCCAGTTCAGGTTTCTCAGCTAAATTTAGCCACTGAGCCGCGTTGGACAGACACGCAATCACACGGTATGGTGGCCCTAGAAATGCTGTCCCATTTAAAAGGCTATCATAAAGGTGAGGTCATTGCAGTGCCTGCTTATCACCCTCTCATTCAAAGCTATATTTCCTCTCAGAAAGCCCGACCCACGTACCTTGGCAAACAGGGTCTTTCCCGTTCCCGGGGGTCCGTACATCAGGATATTTCGGTACATCCCCTTGTTCTTCTTGGTGTTCCTGGTGGCGATGGCAATGTCCCTCAGTCGCTCCTCCAGCTTGGGCTGTGCAAAGACGTGACAGTGCATTCTAAGCTACCATGAATCTAAAAGCTTATCACTTATGCGTTGCAGGCAATCTACAGGTGCAGACAATACCAAGGCCTTCTTTCGAAGATTGTGCCAGTGATCATGACTGTAAGCTCATAGACTCCATTTTTGAGGCTGGTCCAAACCAAACAGGATTCCGGGTTGCAAGTGCTGGAAACCGCAGCCTTTGCGGCTTCCGGCACCCGGTACGGAAGTTTTGCAGTCCGGTTTCAACGGTATATAGACAGCCAGCCGCATGCGGTAGGTGATCACACATCTTTTTTTTCTCTCTTGCCCTCCTCCGTTAGCTGAGCATTTTTCGAGTGAGCTCAAACACATTGAGACGGTATACATCAAGGAGTTGTTCAGCACGCAGCTCAAGGTGCTCAAAGTGTAGAGGAGGAAAGGCAACCTACCCAGGTTGTGCATGGCAAAATCTGGGTGCCATCGTGGGACCCCCAAAAGTTAAGGTATTTAACTCCGATTGTGGCTACCTGAAGCCACAAGTCGTCACACGATCCGCAAAAATGTTCTGCTTTCCGGCGTCCACAATGTGGCACCTGGGTTGAATTGGACCAGCTTTTATACAGGACTGGAACTTGAACAAAGCACTTAGGCCATTTGATATGTGAGAACCATAGACTAGAATTGAGGCAGCTGACAAGAAATAAAACTTCTTTACCATCATCCTTGGATAGGTGGCATATGCTCTAATCCTAACTTCTCCTCAGTGGTAAATTCAGTTCAAACCTTCATTGCAAAAGCTTTGCAAGTGGAACGATACACAAGTGCAGGTTTCTATTGGACAGGTTTCTCCTAGACATCACTTCTTTAGAATTTCCGAGATGCGCATTAAAAACCGGATGCAAACTCCAAGATGGGCGTTTCTTTCAGCCCGACCTAGCCGAGTTTTCTGCACTGACTATAGTTGAGAAAACACGGTAATTTATATTGATGAGTACATCTTCACTTAAACATGCATATTCATGCAAAAAGATTGCTTGCCAAATACCACTGCGAGGCACACCCATCAACCTGTTCTCACGGGCACACTCGCACTGCCTCCTATCGAGTCACGCACGCTCGAGCGTAATCGCCAACCCGTGTGAAAATTGGCTTCCTCCGACCTTCTTGCTAGCGTGCACTCTCCTTGCGCACACTCTATCATTCCCCTGTCCCCGTCCACGGTCCTCCCACCCGCCTCCCATGTTCACAAGGGGCCTTACGTTGTGGTACCCGGAACACATCTTTGACCGGCGTGCTTAACACGTCCCCAAAAGTGGTCCCTCGATTTCTGCCCAAGGACATCATAAAAGGGTCATGCAGTTGCCTGCCGCGATCCCGACGGTAGCACAGCAGCCAAGGTGCATGCGGCAGACGCATGTTCTGCTGGAGGTCACTCCGTGACTACGTCGTCGACGGAAACTAAAGCAGACGCGAGATGGGAAGCCGCAACAATGGCACCCCAAGTGCCCACTCGCCTTTCTAGGACTGACCACTCGGATTGCAACATCCGACGGCACGAGTCAATCTCTGGGACACAATCTGTTGTCCCTTCGGGAATGCGCTTTTGACGCGTGGGCGGGATAGGACCATACTCACGTCCAGGACGACACCCTTGAGTGCGTCAGTGGGCTTGCTGGTGAGCTGGCGGGTGGTCTTGATGGGGTGTTTCAGGGCCTCCAAGACGGTGAGCCGGGAGGTCTCCCTAACCAGTGAGGGCTTGCCCAGCCGCATTTCAATGTACCTCGCCGCCACGCCTGTGCCCAGCTTGGCAGAGTACACTCCCAGGGCAAGGAGGGTCACACCGGCTGCCTGCGTACGGGGGGGGGGGGGGGAGAGGGTGAGTTACAGGCCTCTTCGCGTTCGTAAATACTCGGCCCTACCAGCTATCGGCGAGACTATTGGCGAAAAAAACTAAAATATAGAGGGTGCTCTGCCCAGCTTGTTTTATACTAGGCTCAGTGTTTACACAACACAGGTCCTGTGGACTCAATTCCGTATGTCATCTTCATCAATAGAGCGCGGAGCTCCAATGCAAAAAGTGTGAACAATAAACGGAGTGACATTGGCAGGACCGTCCGGATCTATCCCTGAAGCAATCGTTGAAGGATGCGAGCTTGACCCACTTCGGCCTTTGCGCTGAGCAGGGACTTGACACGTGCACAGTACATGCTGCATTGCTGATGCAGGCGGGAGTGGCCACAAAAGAACTTCTTCACGGGCAACGAGAAAACAGTAGCCCCGGCCGGACGCAGCGTTCGGCTACAACAGCCGAGCGCTGCGTCATTGCTGTTGTCGTCCCCATCATGACCTTGGTGATTCTTGGTGCACAAAGCTCTCCTCTGACCCTTCTAAACGCTCATTTGACCAGCAGTAGGAGTGTATGACAAAGCTTCTCCAGAGCTCTGCAAGAGAGTGCTGATACAGAGCTGGCATCATTGTTTCAAACATTAAATGTGTGCACACTGTATAGAGCTTGTATTTTCGTTAACACTGCAAAGGCAAAGGTACGCAAGAGTGTTGAGACGTGATTCAAGTGCCACTTGGCTGGTGCACCGGCTTAGCAGCGTTTTTTTTTTTCACACAGCCTTTGTTTAGACATAGCTTCTAGCAAGCTGACCCTGATCATAGGTAAACAGTGGGAGAGATTGTTGCAAAATATTCCACTGCAACAAAAAGGCCAAAGCCGTCAAAGCCCTATTGATAGCAAAGTCATGGCGAGACGGAGTCCGAGAAACACTTGAGAGAAACGCAAAAAACAACAGAACTGAAACGATGGGTTAAATCAAACAAATATATCACGAAAGAAACAATGTATTTTGAAGTCTCAAGAGGATGACGAGACCAAAGAACCCCTCTTACCTTCTATTCAGTAATACAATCGGTGAGGGTATAATGGGCATTGCATTTCGCCTGCTCTGTCTTACAAAGAAATGTGTTTTGAGGGGGTCAGAAGTTTATTGAGATTAGTTATCGACTCAGTACAATCTTTTTCACAAAAATGATTGGACGCACTGTTCATCAGAAAACAATCAGGCGTGGATTTATTCTATATCTTCCCCGTGCTTTAAAAGAGCACCACTCAGATTTCAACCAACCACTTCCTTGAAAAAGCAATGAACATGTGCTGTAGTGAGAAGCAACGAGTATAGTTTGGGCAAACGAGGGCGTCTTTGTTCGGGCAGCTAGCCAAGCAAGTTCGAGAACGATTTCTAGCCCTCTACCTAGTGCCCCCTACGCTGCGGAAACAGCCTCGAGCCATTTTTTTCTTTATGTCGGTCCCTCCCGACGAATGGAATGGTTGGAAAGCTTTGCACACCCAAAATCTCGGCAACCATATCCCCATGGGTGTAGTTCTCAAGTTAGCCACCTGCGGCACAGCAGTTGGATTTTCCCCCCAATGGTCACTACAAACAGCTTGCAATGTGCAATGTGCAACAATTTTTGTACTTCGCACAAATACCGTCTCGAATGAATTTCTCACGTTTATATAACATACGAAACATGCATTAGTTTTTTCTTCCCACGCAATGGTAGTCGCAGGAAAAATTGAAAAAAACACAAGCAGCGTTCACCCCCTTGGCTCACAGTCAGAACAAGCGGCCACGTGATCTGGAGCTGATCACATGTCGCCAATGTTTATCGTAGTAACGCGCGGGGCTGGCAAAGCACAGGACATGCGCCGAGTTCCAAACATTGTTAGGATTCAGCTCGTCGTCATTGCAGCGACTGGACGCAAGACACTACCCAAATGCTTCTCGAGCAATTGATGATCACAAGCCCGAATTGAGCGCTCATGCAATGCTCAGGTCCGATTTACGAGCTGCGCTCAAATACCGTCACTGGGGGCGCTATGCCATCACTGCATCCTTCCAGCTATGTCGTGCAGTTTTTGCAAAGAGATTGAAAGAAAACGCTCGATTTTATTCTTTATTCTTTATTCATAAGTTACCCCGCATTTGCCCGAAGGCGTTACTGCAGGGGGGTTACAAACGTGAAAAAAACAATTCTTCGGTTGCAGAGCACACTTGTTCCTCTGACAGCTTGTTCCATTGTTGGATGGTCTTGACAAAAAAAGAATTAGCGTACATGTTTGTTCTGGCACGGTATTCTCGTATTTTAAAACAGTGATCGGTCCGACTTGAAATATAGTGCGGTTGCTTTAGGTAATCGTCTTTGTTAATGCCCAGTCGACCATTAAATATTGAAAACAAAAATTTCAGTTTTAATTTGTTCCGTCGGGCTGAGAGTAATTCCCAATTTAATTCTCTTTTCATGTCAGTACAACTATCCTTTTGCCCATATCGTCCCAGAACAAACCTCGCTGCCCTATTTTGAATTTTTTCTAGTTTTTCAATTAGATACTTCTGCGCAGGGTCCCATACAACACATGCATATTCTAGAATTGGTCTAACACATGTCAGATATGCCGTTTTCTTCAAGTTTGTTTCGGAACATTTTAAATTTCGCTGAATGAAGTTTAATGCCCTGCCGGCCCTTAAGACTACATCATCGACTTGGGCGTTCCATGAACAGTCATTCGATAATATAACACCCAGATATTTGTACGTACATTCTGTTTTGATGAAGTCATTATTTATACTGTACTGAGTATCGATTTTTTTCTTACTCCTAGTAAAACTTAAATGGACACACTTTTTTGGATTCAAATTCATCTTCCATTTACAACACCAGTTTTCAACACGTACCAGGTCACTCTGTAATTGTTCTGCGTCATGCTCACTCGTAATGCTTCTATATAAAACACAATCGTCAGCAAACAGTCGAATACGGGATGTTATCTTTGAAATTACACCGCAACAAAAGAGTTGCTCGGTCAGTGGCATTGCGCACGAGTATACTTGGGTTCCACTAGTGCCAGTAAGCTTGTGTAAAGTGAAAAACATTCCAACTGAATATTGTTGCACCGCCCGCTTAAGAAGTGAACGGCGTGGTGAGTCCCAGGCATCTTATAATCGGTCCCCGGCCAAGAGGATTGCAACGTTAGCCGATGAGGATGCCGAAGAATAAATCACGAAGCGCAAGCATAATAGACTACGCCCCACATTTCTTAAGCTGTCAGTTACCATGGAGTCACAAAAGAAGCTACATCCAGAGAGTTAGCACAGTTTCCCCTCACTGCCCAATGCAACGGTCATTGGTCCGTTTGCGCTACGTGGTGCTTGTTTATGTGCCAGCAGCTCATGGGTGCCGTACCGCCATTTCGGTGCTTAGTGCAGGGTGGGCGCAACTGACGATAGTTACGATCAGAGAGTGCAACCTCCCGAGCTTTAGATCTGGTGCCATTAAACTCCAGAGATGTCGCTTTACTCTGCCGCAGGCTGTTCCAACGCTAATAAAGGACGAAAAAGTGTTTCATGAGATTTCAGATAAGGCTACAGATAACTGGCAACAGTAATCTTGAGCAACGGGATGGCTATATTGTCGATACACCGAAGCATAGCTTATTTAGTCGCTCTAGTTGAGACTTGTAATCTCACTTTTATGTTTCGTGCCTCGCGTAAAACACTCTTAGATTAACCCACTTGCCGAGTTACCCTTAAGCCAGGGTCACACTGCTTATACGTCATACAAAAGACAGTCTGCCAGACGTCAGTCACCGCGATATCCGTGGTTCGAATGCCGCGAGTCAAGTTCCTCCTTGAACTCGTTGCCGTGTGGCATTCAAAGCACGGATCTCATGGTGACTTGCATTTGAATCTGTTTGCAGACTGCCTTTTGTATGATGTATAAGCAGTGTGACCCCAGCTTTAGATGCTGCACGACAATGACTCGTTTGTTTCATTTCATTACACGAGGAAACCAAAATGAATTCAACTTATGTTGTACCACACTTGGGTTTGTTGGTCTCTCCAGTTTCTTTGACTTGTCCCTCGTTTTTCTCGTGCTGTTTTTATTCAAGAGGCACATACATTCAATAGAAAGAATAACAATTACAGTACAGCCTCTCTGAAGTAAGGTCAGTTTTCCCCCCAAAAAAATCCTCAAACTCCTCAGTTTCTTCACTACGTAAGTATTACTATCAAATACCTGTACTAATATTACAAAAACACTTCAAGTTTGATGACTATATCTATATCTTTGCTATACAGTGATGTCTCGTTAATATGGACATCTCCGTTCCCATAAAAAATCATCCATAATAATAATAATAATAATAATAATAATAATAATAATTATTATTATTATTATTTGCATATAAAAATCTGATCCTGAGTGGCGTGCACGGCTGTGCAGAAAGGTTAAAACCCGTACGCGAGTGCGCCTGCCAGCCCGCCACAAGACAAAAATGTGTGTATTTCCTCCGTTCGTCCCCAAAAATAATGTCCATATAGCGGGGTTTCAAATTAACAGGGTCCATATTAATGAGACATGACTGTATCAGATTACAGAAGTATTCTACTATAAACACAATGTTTATAGACCTTCACAGGATACACATATCCCGCCGGTATCGGCAACGAAAAAATAATGAAATGTCGCAACCAAAAAAAGTAATTATAAGGGAGGCAAAATGAGTATGAACGTAAATGGTAACACCTTCCAATGGCGTGGCAAGAGCAAAACAATGTTTACACCTGTACCGGAGGTTCTGCCTTTCAAGAGAGTGATGGCAGCTTAGAAAAGGTGCATACATCTCTAACACTTACGACAATGATTGAGACGCAATGAGAAGTGAATAAAATCCGGAGGTGCTACTTTTTGCTAGAATCTCTTCTTACTCCTTTATTCATTCCTTGCTCAAAACTAGATGGCGAGTGGGTTGAATGTTTGATAACCTTGCTCTGTAGAGCTACCCAACTTTTGATAAGATTGCGAAAAAGGCCTACCGTGGCCGAAACCTTGTCCCAGTCGGAGATGAAAGCCCTGAAGCCCTCGCCCAACACGGCTCCCGCAGTCCTGCAAACAAAGCCCCCCGCAACCAGCTCAGCTAACTTTGCCTTTAACCACACACTTCAACTATCACAAGTTCCAGACGTTGCATTCCTCCAGGCTGGTTCTCTGGTTTTGGTTTGGCTTAGTTTTTCTCAGTAAATACACGATTTGGTGGCAATACATTAATTGGGAGGTATCTAGACACCATATCCTGGGGTTTCCCACAAGACAAATTGCCCGCTTGGACATTCAATCAAAGGCATTGAAGGTGTGATAGCACCAATTCGCAGTTCATACCCTACTAGTGCATGGAGGAGAGGGGAGTGGGTAGGGATGATAAACAGTATGCCAACACTTCTGTCCCTCCTCACCCCCTCCATGCGGCGCAATGCAATTGGCCGTGCACGCCATTAAGTTAAAACAACCGTTACTCCTGTGCTCCATTACTGACACGCTCTCTCTCATAGCCTCGCTGCTCCATGACCAATGCCAACTTTAAAGCAAGCGACCAAGATTCCTGCCGTGTTCCCATATAAAGCTACCGCTTTAAAGCAGTTTATTGGTTTCAAGAGGTTTTCTAAAGATGCCGAATGACCTGCAAAGGGAAAAGAAACAGTCTGGTGCTTCCCACAATACAAAACAAAATTGTGAGCGTGATAGGCTCTTTAAAGATATCCAATGAACTGCAAAGGAACCACGTCGACTCACTTGATGGACTCAAGGACGGTGGCCCTATTTTCGGCGGCCTTGACCTTGATCTGCTCGATGTACAGATCTTGGTTCTCCCTGTCCACTTTGGCCTTGGCGTGCAGCTCTGCCTCCAGCTTCTTCATGTCGTTCTTGTGCCGGAGCTCCATTTCATGCTCTATCGTGGCTGCACAAATCGAGACCGGACAGACCCTTTTCAGAAGTCTGTTGAGCAACGATAGCAGCCGCCACATTTCAAACACCGCTTCCTGTGCGAAGCATGTGATTGGACCCAAGTTCACGCCAAGTGCTGATGCAATACAGTTCACTACATGCTCAAAGGGCATGCCCAAAATATGGCGGCCTCCGGGCAGCTACGGAAACACTCTTGAGGAGGGTCTATTAAAAAATGCCAACTGAGAAGGTGTGAATGATTTTGGAGTACCAGTAGCCCCGAATCAAATGTCATTTTTGCTACTTGGTCCAAAATGTGACGGAAAAATTATTTTCTACTCGTTACCAAGTTACGAAGAATTTTATGGTCATGAATGCGACAGGGTGTCGCAGAATAATGCAGTGCTGGGGAACGCGGCAGGTGACCGCTCAGTGGCCAGGGTACACAAGAAGTCAATGGGACTATATTGTATAAACTGAGAATCATCTGAGGAGAGCAGAGTGCTGCAACACATATTTGACCAGTGCTCCAGTTGCACACAAGGACATGGAGGAACAATGAAAAGCAGAACAAGCACTTTTGCATGTCCCTGTGGTGACTGCACAACCACAGCTTTCATTCTGTGAGTTGCACAGTTCTGTAATGTGAATGACTGGAGAAAATTTTGAAATGTGCTGAAGATAGACAATGAAATGATGAGAGAAGAAGGCTCTAGTGTGGACACATAGCCCCAATTATTTTTTTTTAACAAAAACGAAATTTAGACAGTCACAAAATTAGGGTTAATGAAAGAACTGACTACCCAGAGACAACAGGTATACTGTACTAAAAACCAACAGACATACTAAGTGCCTGTCGGTGCAGCACTTAGTATTCTTAGATCTTCAGGTCGCCCAAGCTGGCGTTGCCTGGTTTCACACCTAAAAATGCAGTAGGGGATGAGCAACTTACACCTTCTTAGAGCCTCTTGTTTAGCAACTGATTCTTCTTGCCGCCTGAGGTTATCCTCGTTGGCCCGTTGCTAGAGATTGTAAAAAAAGTTCCCCATTCACAAAAGTCACAAGCGGTGTACCGTGACACGGGGAAAGAAGCCATATGGTTATGGTACCTTCAAACAGAAGATAGAAAGGCACCATAACTAGTAAGCTAGTTATGATACCTTCAAACATAGAAGTACTGTTTGCATATACTACACTGGTGTGCCCGGTACTAGAGCATGCAATCATAGACATACACAAACAAATATCAATATCCTTGGAAGTGCTCAGAGGAAGGCAATAATATTTGTGTACCACAAATCTGGACGGTTTGATTTCCCCACTGAACTCCTGAAAGGATCCGGTGCTTTGACCATTGCTCATCGCACAAAATTAGGACGACTAAAATTCTTGTATCTCCTTTTAAACAACTCCTTCAAAATAGACAGAAACAAGTATGCAAACTTTCCTCAGGCAAGAACAACAAGACACTAGCAATGTACTCATCAAATATTCATTTAATAAAAATACTTTCAGGTACTCTTTTTTTTTTTCCTCCTGTCATGAGAGATTGGAAGAGCCTTGACACACATTTCTTCAGCTTCACAAGTGGAGATCCGTTCATTAATGCTCTTGAACAACACCTCCTTAGTCAATTTATGAGTTGATCTGTTTGTCTGAATATTTAGGAAAGTGATGATTTCGACTATTACATTGTTTTTGCGCACCTCAAAATATGTACCTTTGCCTGTCAACACCTTCAAGAGAAAAAAAAAATTGAGATTTTGTTGTGTTCGTCTGTTTTTTTTATCGTCCCCATCTCAGGGTTTACAAGATGTAAATCAATAATATTAAAAAAAAAAAAAAAAAAAAAAAAAACTTACCTGTTGCAAAAGTTGGTCATCATAGCGCTTTCTGGCAAGTTGGTCCTGGTACAATGCTCTCTAGAATGAGAAAAAGTTGGAAATTGAGATTTTCGGAAACAGAAGCAACACCACCATAATGCTAGGGTAACCAGACATACTATTTTGGCCGGGACAGTCCCGGTTTTTTGTCTCAGCCTCACGTCCCGTTTGTTTTTGTGAGAGCGTACTGTTACAGCCGTAATTTTATGAAAATAAACATACCATAAAATCTCGCACGGACACCCTTCCTCAAGAGATCACATATTCAATATTTTTGGCTATAAATATACACGCAATCTGTGGTATTTATTCCCATGTCATGCAAGTTCGAAGCAGGTTCCCGCATTGCTTATGTGTTTCTGTGAGTTTGATATCGGTTCCGTGTGATACATAAGTTCATAGCAGTTTCCCGCCTGTTTATCACTTCGTGATGGTTGAATCTGCAGCGTCCACAGTCTGTGGTATCCATTCCAATGACATGCGAGTTCGGAGTGGGCTTTTGCAATTTTTGGTGAGCAGGATTTTACGAAAGTATCAAATTGTAAACTCCCCTTATTTCACTGCTGAGCTCTTTCTGTGGCTGCATCTGTGAATACATTTTTATTTCCTTTTTATTGCATAGACTTGGGTACAGGATAATTCTCTATATTATTGAATCTAACATGGTTCGGTTGGCAACATTTATTCCCAGTTCTTTAATATTGAGAAGAAAAGCACTAACGTTTGAAACAAACATCACCAGGAAAAGTGCATTTTTACACTGAACTGAATAATAGCAGGGATTTTCCTTCTGCCTTGCATCCTCACCCTTCTCCCACCCGTCCAATTGTCCTGAATTCTACTCTAAAAGTTACGGTTACCATACAAAATGTGTTAGTTCTCAAACTGGGTACTATCCTGAAGCAAAAAAGAATTTGATTTTTGTTTTTAATTAATTGAGATTTATTAGATTTAAATCACTGTAGCTAGAAAAAATAACGCTTTTCCATCATTATATACATTTTTAAACAATGGAGATCAATTGGCCAATTCATTCAATGAATGAAAACAATGTGGAAGAAAGAATTATTGTAAATTTAAACTTTTAAACAACAGTTTACTAAACAATTTTTTACTGTTCTCTGCCATACTAGAAAAAATGCAACTTGATATTTCTTTTGCTTATGAGAAGGTTTTATTTGCTTTTTCTTTTGCATTCTGATTTGCTTGTAATATGACATTTTTTCTTGTTTTCATATTTTTTCTTCTACGTTCTGAATTGTTTGCAATAAGACTACTACATAACTGATGAACTAGGTCGGTAAGTAGAAAAAAAAGCTCAACGCTTTGGTTTGCTCAAAAGAGCACCACTTTGTTTTCGTGTTTGGCCTTCTATAAATCTTCCTTGCTTGACGATTCTGACTTAAAGGGGTACTCTGGTGATTTCTTCATGGTCCCCGATTTGCCTGAAAATTTGCCAAAGAAGCCAACGAACACCGCTAAAATAGTATCCCAAATATTAGGTAAAAATAAATCTTTCCGACTAAGCTATTGAACTTACAATTTTGGTCCTCACCGTGTTTTTCAAACTGAAAGTCTCTCCTGGCAACAACGAAAAAGTGACGTCCGTGGAAGGCAGGGGTTCACTCTTTGGACTGTAGAATTTGTTACCAACTGATTCGAAGCAGAATCATGATGTCAAATTAATGCTTCGGAAACTCAAGCTCGCTCTAGTAGTCGCACACCAGTACCGGAAGCTCAAGCTCGCTCTAGCACTCGCACACCAGTACGGAACAAATGCTTGGCATACCCTATTTTTTAGACTGCTTGGTTGAGTGGCAAGCCTACCTGCCACTGATGTCACGTCACTGAAAAGTGTGGTTATATTTGAATGTTGGTTTTTGCATCATTTTCATTTGCCGATTTCACAGTAACTATTATGAATTTCACTATACTAAATATCATACCGGAAAGGGTAAAGGCCAGGGATTCAGAAAATATAGTTAGTTGGGGTAGCTAAAAAAAATCTCCGGAGTAACCCTTTAAATGCAAAAAAAAAAAAAACATATAGAAAGCACCAAAAGATGGACAAACAATAAATAAGAAGTATCTTGGAGATCATTTATGTGGAAAAGGTTTGATTTAAATCATCATAGCAAAATAGGTACAATTTGAATCACAATTTAAAACACGATTCAATTTAAATCGCCTCGATTTTTATTTTCCACCTCGGTTCTCAGGAACCCCAAAATTATCCAAGCTCCCAAAACTCCCAAATCGTTCCTGTTCGCGAAGAAAAGAGAAGGGAACCAGCCCCAAGCATCTAATTCGCAAAAAAACGTTTTTGTGTATAAAAAAACAAAAGGAGCCGGATTTTGAGTCAGAAGCCTAGTTCTTGATTGTTGGGCCCACGTAAGCGTTATCTTCGTAAGAAACCCTGGCACGTACACATATCACGTCAGCGACCCTTTAAGAGGAAGCTTCCAAAGGTTGGCCCTTTAATGGAAAGTTTCCAAAAGGCTCCTTTCTCGCCAAGAAACACGCAACTCTATCTCTGTAATAAGCCGACACATGGACGAACAAAGGCAAGAATTAGCACCACAGTCATAGTCTCGTTTCGTTCCATTTCATGGATTAACAGGAGGCAAAACCAAACCTGCTGGTGTTGTTTCGTCTCCTCCGACAACGTCTTCCGCCGTTCCTCTTGCTGCACGCGATAGGCGTCGAGCTTCGAGTGCTCGATGTGCGCCTCAAACTCCTTGATTTTTGCCTGTTGTTCCAGCTGTAGCGTCTTCTCCTGCATCTTCGACAGCTCGAGAGCATCCTTGGCATGTTCTTTTGGAGGAAGAGAAAAACAGAAAGTAAGTAATCGCAAGCTTTTAACTCTGAGTGTGGCGATCCATCTACAGTCACCGACAAGGTGAGAAGGGCAGGGCGTCTCTTTCTAATGCCCGGCCTCCAGCATCGGCTCGTTGCGTTCCGTTATGCTTCGGCTCTGCGTGCGTGCTCGAGGCTCGTGACATGCTGGAGTGTTATCGAAGGTAAGAAGCCCGCGCCGGAGGCGGGACCATCGAAGCTTCTCCCCGTCATACTCGTCTTGTCAGTGACCACTGGATGCGGAAGGATAGAGATGGGCCTTCAAAATTACGCACAGAACAAAGCGAACTGCAAATTATTGTAGTATCCCGAGAGACAGACCAGCTAAAATTTAAAGCAAATGGTGTGGAAATAAGGAGTGTGCTAACTTTTAAAGTGCAATAAAAAAAAAAGTTGAAAAAATGCTAGTAAAGCTTGCGATTGCAGGGAGGGGCGATGAACCAATGGCGGATGTCCTTCCCAGTTAACAATGTTTGCTTATCCTCCCGTCTTGGCTGAGTAACACAATTTCTGCCGAGGTCACCTCTAGCATGGATCCCGCAACTAATAGAAGCGGGCTATCTTTTGGTGTTTCTGAAAAATGGAAAATCACACCAAAAATAGGGGTGGGTTACCTTTCGGGGGTCGGGCATCTTTCGAGATATTACAGTAGGTTAATGCCTTCCAGAGGAAAAGCAGGCTTCAACTATTTGTGCGAACGCATGCCAAGAAGTTTAAGCAGGTTGAGATTGAACTTGCATGGTGCTCATTTTGCATGTATGTTTCTATTTATTTTATTTGACAAAGGTATTAGTCCCACAGCAAACAATAAACAGTAATATACCCACAGAACGCCGGGTAAACATTTTATGTAACACTGAACATTCATACTATATACTGGACAATGGTTCCAGTATGTGCAAATAAAATTATTATTACTGAGAAAACTAAAGAGCATCTAACTAATACTGTTAGATTATACAAGAAAGACAAAATAGCAACATGAAGTCAATTAGTTGCATCTCACGACACTTAACAAACTCAGGATGGTATTTGCTGCAACAATGCTATTCTGTCAGCACATTCCACTCCCTACTGTTTTTGAAGTTAAAAACCCAAAAGCAATTTTCGGCCTTTTTTTTTTTTTGTTATCTATTGTTCTAATATGTTTACTTGATACAACTCTAGAGATATGAGGTCTAATTAATATAGGTTTGTCTATCAGAAGTGTTATTCCACCCAAAATCATGTAAAGCATTTCTAACAGTTCATTTTGGCACTCTTCCAGTAAATTATGATATAATAGCTGCCATGGGATATAGCTCCACAGATAAATCAAGCCTCCTTTTCTCTGGAAAAAAAAAAAAGAAAAATGCCAGCTTAAATACATTTTTTTTTTTGTTTCAATACTGACTTTTCAGACTGAGGGTCCCACACTTCTCTGGCATACTCCAACCTAACATTTTAAAAGCTAACCGTCTCGTTTCAAATGTTTGTTTGTTTTTAAGACATTTTTTAGTAGCCAAAGTTTACCTGTAGCTTTCTTGATTATATATTATTAATGTGCATTTTCCAGCATAGATCATTAGTTTTTGTACATGTATTCAATTACTCTAGACAAGAGTGTTTCTCTAGAAAGTAATTATACAGTGCAGAAGCTTTGAGCGCTTTGTACTACTAATCACTGGTTCAGCTAATTCTTTTTATACTACTTGTTGAAAGCCACCTGCTTGCATTTGGATCGAGGCTGGTTGGTTTTGATGATGCAACTGCAATATCCCGGCTCGCGGCCCAACCTCGTAACCAACCGAATGTGCCCGAGATCAAAGTTAGGTAGTTGATGCACTCGTACGTAAGCGCCGATTCATTGCCACGCCCGTTAAGCGAAAAACAGCGCTTACTTGACGCTTCTAAGTCCCTCGCTGCCTTGGCGGCTCTTTCGAGGGCGGACGAGTCGAAGTGGAAGCCCTCTGTCCTCGACTTTTTCTCGTCTCCGCCGCCTCCTGGGGGCGAACCGCCTCCTTGGACGGGCACGCCGAGGGTCGACAGGTCCGGCATTTCGCCGCCACCGGACTGATCCTTTCTGATGCCGAATAACCAGGACATTTCGCCGTTTCAAAATCCGCTGACCCCGCACAGCCGGCCGCCACAAACCCAAGGAGAAGCACGTGTGTTCAATGACTGGCGTCGCGCTCTTTAGTTACGATGCTAACGTTAAAAAAATTAACGTGACGTCATTACAAGTAGCTCTGAGTCACTCTATTAAACACTCGTGTATTGAAACGTCGCAAGTATTGTGACGTAAATTTAGCCATAAAGAGCCGTGGGCAGTAGTACTCTTTCGCAAACTCGGATACTCGAACGCAGCCAAGTCGATGCTGGCAGAAACTAGAGACGGAAGAGCTCGTCAAATAATTAATTAATAAATAACAAAATTATCACATATGTAACCACTATAATCACTATCTAATAAAACAATACTTTTAACGTGTAAATAGTTTAAATTTTTTTACCTAATGATTTTTCAGCACCGCGTTTTTTAGAGCACGAACCGCTGCGTGTTTACTTTGCTGTGTGTTTTCTTGTTCGTTTTCGCTTTTGGCCCCGCTGTGCCTGCTGCCTGCTGGCTATTGCCGTTATCGAGATGCTCTTACTTCTGCGGAGCCGCGACACGTTGGTAAATGTTCGGTAATCAAGTACCGTAGATAGGTGTATCGCCAGCTTCGTTGTTAACCTGATGGATTTGTTCAGCGATCTTCCCGAACCAGGTATCAATCGGCTCTGGCGCCTGATTCCACGAGTTCTGCATGCAGCGTTTCGTTGTCTCATCTTCGCGCAAAATCTGTGTACTCTAATTTTTCGGCCCATTTTTTTTTTCTCGAACAGAGGATGTTTCTAAGCCGATTCGGCGAGACCCGCCGGCGAAGGAGATCAGCCACAGAGTTGTTCGAGCGGCGGCGGACACGTTGTTCGCCGACCTGCCTTCTCCGTCGTCAAACCCTCAACTACCACAAGCTGCGACGTTAGCAGCGGCAAAGCGACCGCACGATGCCGTCGACGAGGACAACTCGCAAAATAAAAGGCCAGCTCCAAGTATGACGATTCAAAAACACGAGTTGCACACTCTTTGAATTTTTTTTTTCTTACCAAAGTTACGGATGTATCAGCGTCCTTGCTGACACGCTGTTCTATTTTCCGTTCTGTTCCAGGTGCTCTCGCGCTGCACGGATTTGTCGCAGAACGCAAAGGAGAGCGGGACGAAATGCAGGACTCGCACGTCATTCAGGATGCGTTCCACGCAGAAATCCCGCACTTGCACGGTTCCATGTTAGTAGTGGTGACTGCAAAACGCTCCTCATTCTTGCGATGTGGCCTGCAGAGGAGTATACTTAGACTTAGATTGCAATGCTCGGGTGGAACGCAAAGCCCAAGTTCGGGCTTTCGAGCATTCTACTGTTTGCTGATTACCGCATACAGCGTTTTTGAATTGTATACATGCTGGCACTGATGATGGCTATAGCAAAGCGCAAGGTTGTCTCTTTCCTGAGTAGGGGTTGCGGTGACATCAGAACACTGAGCTCTGATTGACTCCGATTGGAAGAATAGTGGGTAGACCAGCAGCTAGCATTAAGGCGGACTACCTACTATACCGCCATCAGAGCCAGTCGGAGCTCGGCATTCTGACGTACCCCTGTGCAACAAGCAGACGGACTTGCACTCCGGATAGACCCCTTTTGAAAGTGCGCCCTCTTTTGGAATCTGTGGATCTCTGCACAGTGGCGGACACAAGTGGGGGGCTTCTCGCACGTCCCACGCTGTCAGTTATTCGACCATTGTGCGGTGTATCGAATTTTTTTTTAATCGGCACGTGACTTTCGAAAGGGTTCTATTTGCTGGGCGTTAAAATTCTTAGCGCATGCTCAGAACGAGCCCCCACTTTTTTTTTCGAAAAAGAATTGCAATCTTGGTGGTGTGGAATGCGTGTTGTGGGAGCATTGTGGACGCTTGTCATAAGCTCAGGCCAAGCATCAATGGACTGAACTACAGCCGCCAATTAATACTACTTATAGCTCAATTTTGATTAATCTTTTTTTAATGTGTCGGCTGAATGGCAAACTGCCCAAGTCGAGGGCATTTGTGGAACGCAATGCTGATGCAGTGAGCAAGTGTGGTGATGTGTTTAAAAACAGTTTCGCTTTCATGTGTGGGAGATTGGTGGCCGAGCGGGCTAGCGCACACCAGCTGGGAGCATATGGAGCGAAAGCTCATGCTTGTGATCCCAGGGATCGTAGGTTCAATCCTCACCCTTACCTGTTTCGATCTGGATGAGCATTGTACCTGCGTGCAGTCATGTATCACTAGTGCGTGGTGCACGTTAAAGACCCCAGGCTAGTGGTTGTACTGCACTGCCTAAATTTCTTCTCTATAGCTGAGACATCAGATGCCCATTGGGGCTGACTAACTTCTGGCTGTATAAGCATACAACACAATTACTGTCATTTGTTGCCCAACTATAGAAAATATATGGGTGCATAGGCGAGGACACCCTTTCGAGTTGGAAGAAGTTGCGTTCATTTGAGATGAATGTGGAATGAGCTCACACCTTGCACACCACGGCTGTATGCAGATCTCCCGACCTTTCTAAAAGACTGTACAAAGGAAGGATTTATTTTGAGTTTCGCCGAATGTTGTTCATATAGGAGTCCGATGGAACCAAAGACTGAATGCTCTGTGGCTTTTTGCTTCATGCCCCAACTTTACTTTTCGCCGCAATAAATTAAAAAAAAACATTGCATACATCTCACCCTCATGCATGTTTGACTTCCACGGTGCCTGTTACATGCACATGTTCAGAGGTGCACACACAGTGTGCATACTATCCTGGAGGCATTCTGGTTTACCGTTACATTGTACAAAGAGAGAACACGTGCCCTTCTTCATATTTGCATGGCGAAATGCTCTCTCTCCTGATAGGAAAAACTGGAAAAATCGCACAAAACATTATTTAGTTTCATGCTGAATTTTACCTTTAGTGTTAACTTGCATGTCACATCAAATTTAATTCAGAATTATTGTCGTCTCTGTTTGGAAATTTGGGCTAAATCTTGCTCACTGCATCAAAAGCAACCACGGGCATTGTCTTGGATTATAAACTGAACCTCAAAACGAGGAAGACTGAAATAACAGACAACTCAACTTATATAATTGCTGTTTACTTGCCATGAAGATTTTGTGCCTTGTTCATAATTTTATTTCTTCCTGTCTCGGGGTTTAGTTTACATTTCCTAACTGGCTTGACTGCATACTTTTTCTTGAAAAGCATAGCTTGTTCTTGCTTGTTTTTTTGTTTGTTTGCTTTTGCTGGAACGGCTTTTCAATAGACCCTTTTCAAAAGTGCACCACTTTGTAGCTAGTGCGCCAATCAGCTGAGCGTGCTGTTGTTTAGGCATCCACTCTGTGCATTTTTTGGGCATGATAATTGCATCTGCATTCAGTGTCGACTTGGCTCTGCCCGTATCGAGAATGAGTACTGTGTCGGCGTCCAATTGCACGTTTCGTGCTAAAGAAATGGTGACTGCCAGTGTTGCTCGATGGGGCTTTGAAAAGGGTTTATTATCATTTCAATTGTTGCTTTGATGGGGAAGTGGTGCCTGAGTGTGGGTGGTCCCCGCCTTCTTCTCATTGCAGACGTCGCCTGTCCTACTATGGAGTGTTTGACGGGCACAACGGCTGCCGAGCGTCTCGGCACGCTGCCCAGTACCTGCACCGGCACTTGGCTGCCCGATTCCCGAAGGGTACTTCCCTCCCCATTCTTGCGACCTTGCGCCTCGGCCTTTGTTTAAGCTAGACGGCCCCCAAGGTCAGTTTAGTCGCTCTCTCGCTCCTCTCGCGGCCCCCGAAGCCAGCTGCACCCACGCCGTTTGCGGGAAGGACACCACCCTCCCCAATTAGACACGCTCCTGAGCACGCTTTCTGGGTGCACCCTTATTTATTTTATCTATTCATATATTTGCTCAAGAATACTGCCGGCCGACTTTTATTGGCTGAGGCAGGCATTACAAACAAATACACAATACGAAATGTGGACGTTGTATTTTCCTAGGAATATTAGTTGACATTGTGGTTAGTCACTCGTAAATAAAACAGTTCATCTAACGTGCTATAATCGCTGACAGAATGAACGGCAGGGTGTGTTTTTCGAATGCTCGGCCTCTCTCTTGCGCTATACTATTCACTTTTCTACGACTAGATACCCAGGGTAATCCAGATATCATTCGCAAGCTATTCTTGTATCAATCTGCGCTCCGTTTCACTTTAAGCCTGAGCGTAGCAGCGACTACAAGAGCGAGCTCTCCAGGCTTTCAGCGTCCCTGCCAAGCATGCGCTCTAGTGCAGTGCAAGCACTGATCCAGGCGACCCGCTCATGCTCATAGCTACGGCTTTGTAGCACTTAAAGTGAAGCAGAGTCTAGTGTCCCTCTGCTATTATGTTAGGATGGGAAGCGTTCTGGTCAAGAAAACAAAACAGGAAAGGTTGCCTTGCTTCGTCCCCCTTTCTTGTGTTGAGCGCGATTTTGTTACCTGAACTCGTAAAAACTGAGGAAAAATGTATACAGGTATGTTTTTCGGTTGTGAGGTGAAAGCTGCGTTGCCGTTTTTCAAATTGCTAGGCGTTTGCAAATAGTGGATTTTGAGTTCAAAGCAAAGAGTAGTGGTTTCGGCCGATTATTTTTGAATATTGAATGGTTTCTCCGAGCCTTTCACTGCTATTGGCCCATTCTTAAATAAAAACCCAGCTGAACTCGTGGAGGTTGTTCCCAAGCTTTTACTTGTCCATTTATCGGCTGAATTAATTTGAATGAACTATATTTATGAACTGTAGTCTGAGAAAGTCCAATGCCTACACTGGGATGGCAAGGTTTGACGGACTTGACATAAAATTAAATCTATAGAGATGCCCAACTATACCTAATCGAGAGGATTTATAAATCTTGGCATATGCAAATGCCCTTTCTAGTGCGCTGCAGAGAAGCAACACTTGCAGAGCTTGTTTTTGTGGGTGTCGCTTCTCCGCAGTTCACTGATACTCGGTAAAAAGTGCGCTCAACGGGGCCAATCCGCCATAATCAACACTTCGAAAAATATGAAGATCACAGGTCATCTCGAAGCGAATATCGAATAGCGTATTGTTCGAAACCGCGTATACACCAACTCAACTCTCCTACGTCACGCCGCGGTGGTGGCGCGCCGGACGCACTTCCGGTCTGGGGCGGTGGGCAGAAGTCGCCATGCCAGACATACATTCCTGTGTTCCCTTGGAAGAAACGAGACAAAAAACCTGCCTTCTCGTCAAAATGCTTCGATGGGGGCTGTACCAAGAGAGTCTGGAAAGGTTTGACGGTCAGTTTTCATGTGTTTTTGCCCCCTCCGTTCGTCCGAGGACGTGGATAGTAGCCGTGAAAGGGGCGAACCAGACGCTGTCGAACTACGATTGCGTGTGAGGGCAACACTTTGTGGTCGCCAGATGTATTTGCTTTGTTCCAACATGAACGAGAGAAAACCGCCAAGTTGTCCGGACCACCCGCGGGTTCCCCCAGTGCGTCTTCAAATTCACACGGCCGCCTGATCGTTCGAACTTTCGTCTGCTCTTTCAAACTTGTCTGCTTTTTGTCGTCTGCTCGTTCAAACAAAAGCGGCCCGTCGACCAAACTTTGACCCAGTGATTGCAATAAGAAGTAATTGCAGGCCTCAAAAGACTTAAGTAGGCTCGGTGTAAACAGTAGATACAAGATGTTGATCATTGGTACCGGTGGCCATCACCGACTTGTTACGCTTGGTCTGTTCCCACTTCCGATTTCCAGTATCAACGTCGATCATCGCCGTTGCCTTCTACACTTTTGCAGCACGAGCGACGTCGCGACCGAAAATAGCTAGAAGAATCTCATCATGGTTTTGGCTTCCATTCTGTGGCGTTCATGCGGATGAATCGCCACACGTCAAATTATATTTACGGAAAGTTTAGCGGCGTAACGAGCCTTGATAATTTCGCTCAGGCGATTAAAGTGGTAAGACATTGCGATGAGGACGTAGAATCGACAATTACAACGCGAAAAAGAGTATGCAGACTCACACAGACGCCGACAACGTGATAGTCGAATGGTTTGTTGACGCGGGACGCGGTGCTTCTCGCCCGCACTCCATTGCACATCTGTTCGAACTGTCGTCTGCTCTTTCAAACATGGCTGCTTTTTGTCGTCAGCTCCTTCAAACAACAGCGGCCCGTAAACCAAACGTTGACCCGGTAATTGCGATAAGAACTAAGTGCAGGCCTCAAAACACCTTTGAAGGTTGGTTGGGGTGAGTAGGCTAAGTGTAAACTAGATACAAGAAGATGTTGATCACTGTTACCAGTGGCCATCACCGACTTGTAATGCCCGATTCTACTTGCGGTTTTCAGTGTCGACGTCCACCATATCAGCTACGGTCCACGCTTTTGCAGTCCGAGCGACTTCGCGACTGAAAATAGCAAGCAGAATCTCATCGTGGGAGTCGGGCTGTAGCGCCCATTCTGCGGCGTCCACGTGAAATGAATCGCCGCACGTCACATTATTCACGCAAAATTTTGCCTCGTTAGTTTTTCTGAAGCCGCTCAAGTAGTCAAACATTGTTAGGAGGACGTAGAATCAACAATTCCAACGCGAAAAAGAGCACGGGGACTCCCACCGACGCCGACAACAACGCAATTCAATGGTTTGTTTATGGGCGACGGCGGGCTTTTTGCCCACCATCTACCGCGCATGCGCGGCGCCGGTGGCGTCCGCTAGGGGCGCTCCGGTTTGTTTGTAAACATGAGTTGGTGTATTGTTCGATACCACAACACTACAAATTGCATTTGCAATGTTCTTTAGAAAGGTGAAAGCAAGCATGCATACATTTCGTTCAGAGTTAGATAGTGTGGTACAATATGTTATAGGAATCGAAAGTCTTTCAATACAAATTACGTTGTCTGTTTCGTGCTTGGTATTGGGTTGAGATGATCGATACAGGCACTAATTGTTCAATGCAAACTTCGCTCCGATTATAAATATTTCTTGCTTTGCAAAAGGTACTCGAAAAGCAGCTATGCGAGACCTTCTGGAGCGGTGGGTGCCACGCACAGTTCTTGCAAAATATGTATGCAAGGTTAACAGATGAGTATGGCATCGTATTTCATAGAAAAGAAAGTGGCATTCTTATGACTAAATACAATGGACCCTTCCATCGCATATTGCCCAGGCGAAATGTGCCCATTCACTGGGTTATGGACCCACAGCATGTTTTAAGCTATTGCACACATTTGAAATGTATTATACATCTCACTAGATGACGCTATGCTCAATGGGATTATTGGAATATAGAGAGTAATATTGCTCTGATATTTGTTGTATGGTACAAAGCACCATTACCTGCCTATATAGGAAAGGGATAAAAATGAGTGCATAGTTTTGAATAGGCATTTGATGGCATTTCCTGTTTTTTTTTTTAAGGAAACAATGGGTAGCTGTACGTGCCACGAAATATTGTAATTCTGCTTTCTTTTTGCTCTTTCATAAAAAAAACCAAACGTTTGCATTGGGGCAACTGCAGAAGAACCGACTAAATATATTTAATGAAAAGCTCTTTATCCAAAGGCTGTCACGTGCTGGGTAAAACCATCTTGCGAGTCGGCAATCGGTGGCTCGCAAGACGCTGGTTCCTGGTGTAAAAGTGTGTGCCCTTTTCCAGTGAACCGGTTTATATCTGGGTTGAAGATCTCAAGGTTTACAAACCCTTTACTAATGTGCATTGCGCCACAGCATAATCGCTATTACAGCCTTTTGCTTCCTCGCTAAATGCGTCCCTGAGTTTAGCAAGAGCTTGCTACCATCAATGCTGTTTCGGTGTGATGTCAACATCGATCATTTGCGTGCACACAATGCACATTCGGAGGAAGCGGGTGTTTAAGGCACTGATGTTCGAAAGAGATGCCCAGTCTTTCCAAACCTGTCAACATATTGTGCTGAATTTGGCTCTCAATATGTGACCTGTGCAATATACTTTGACTGCTAGGATACGGCACTGCATTTATTTTTCGCTTTTTATACTGGCAATTTAACGACAGCAGAGTGTGTTGTCGAATGCTATCTGGTTCTGTTGTAACAATTTCTAGCGATACAATAACAACTTTTGAATAGAAATTACAAAATGCCCCTTGCTTTGGTAGAAGGGCAGCAAGTGGACACTTACACTGGTGCAAGCAGTTGGGGCTACGATTGATTTTGCTGTGGAGAGGAGATTGAGATTAGTCAGAACGTGATGGTCCTGACATGTTGGTAGCTTCACCGTTCAAAGGTGTGTTGGACGAAAATTGCTGGGCTGTCAGAACTTGGATGCAATGTCTAGTGTGCTTCATTGAATAATAGCAATGAATGTGCAGGGTTGTGAAAATGCAGTAATTGCACTTACTACATCTTGTGATCATGTAGAGATGACCCGACTTCTGTATAGTGCGGTTTCACATGACATACTTCTGGCCCAAATTCTCGCCGGACGTCATGTTGATAAATGTTCGCCGTGGGTCTTTCTATGCGCGGAGGCAGTGTTTTACAACTTAGTAGAACTTTGTGCGTCATGAACGACTGCGTCTGCTGGAGTAGTCGGCGACACAAAGGAGCGTCGTCTGGTAGTCAATTTTTATGCACACCGGTCTTTATTCAAACTTAAGACGAGCTGGCAATCAAGAAGTGAACAAAGGGTCCCAGTGGATGCTGCCCAGGCAATTCCAAAAGAAAACGAATCCGAATAAAGTTGGATTTATACGACCCAAGTATGTGCCCGATCATACTTACCGTGTTTTGTCGTCAACGGTGCAGGGGTGGAACGGTTGCACCATTTGCGCCATTTTGTGCCAGACGCATTTGTCTGCGCCATCCTGCGCCCGTTTGCGGAAACTGAGCCACAGCCAATACCTCTCACCATTGTGCTCCAAATCGCTCAACGTGTGCCAAAGTTTTTTATTTTGTCTTGGTTTCGGTTTTTATCGACTCGATTGGCAACAATGAGCACGTTTAGCTTGGTTGGCCTTGCAATCCTTTGTTCTGTTTATTCTTCCTGTGTATCCCGAGTCGGAAGCACGCGAAAAAAACTTGGGGGGGTCCAATTCCAAGCGCTACACCACCTGCGACTGGATTGTTATTCTTCAACAATAAGCGGCTAAGCAAGTCGGTTGAGGTGAGGTCGAGTCGTTAAGCATCAGATTACCTGAGGCTCTGCGGCCCAAGTTCCGGACATTAGCCTGTTGAAAACACATTAGCAAAAGATTCCTTTTAGTACTTCATCGTTAGAAGTTGGAACCGCATTCCTGCAAGATAAATCGTGATTTGATTGAACTGAAACGCGGTCCGATCCGAAACCTTGCTGGCTAGCAGCTCTCACGCGAGCGGAAAATCTGCTCGGCATACTTTAACCTTGCTCCTTCTTATCGCTTAGAATACGATAACTCCGTTAATCGTAGTCTGCTGCTTTGATATTGAGTTGTACAATAGGATAAACTCGGAATTTGTTGCCCTGTTCCTCCGCGCAACTGCACGTCCGTTGCTTTTGCACGTCATGTGGTTCGCACATATAATTACTATGTCGAGCAGGTGTGGGTTGTGCCATAAGCAGTGGTGGTTTGCATTTTGAGCAGCTGAAAGCCACTCAGAAAATATCAAGGACACTATCTGCAGAAATATGGTATTTGCTTTTTGGTTCTCATTAATTAAGGCTCACAACGTTTCAAGATTTCGCATCTGTTACACTGTTATCCCATCTATCTAGGTTCTTAACCACTCATGTTCATCTGTGCTGCTAAGCACAATTGAAATTGTTCTTGTGCTCGTCTAAGACACAAACCGAGGTGCAATGAAGACTGATTTGAGCTGCTTCTAGCCTGCTCCAGAATGTAGTTTTAGCTGCTCCCAACCTGCCCTAAAACAGCTGTTTCAGCTGCTCCCGTGGCTGCTCCCAAGTACATTTCATGAGTTCCACCCCTGCGGTGCCACTCGCCATGTTTTGGTATTTCACCAAAACCATAAACGAAGCCAATAACTAAGCGTCTGCATGGAAACAAATAGCGAGAGTGGCGGATGCTCTGCATCAACATGGTGGAACGTGGCTTACCAGAAGTGAAAAGGCGTTTCGTAAAATTGCCCTGTAGGTTGGAGTCACAACCGATGCGAAAGTGAGCAGGTGATCGTCGACTGCTCAGTACGGGCAGCACCGTGAAGTGGCAGCTGTGGCCGGTGTGCACCTTTCGAACCAAGCGTGGCAAGGTGCAATAAAGCGCACAATCGACCACGGCTGCCGCTTCTCTCTGGAGGAGGCGACACCCCAGATGGATGTCGCCTGACAACCTCCTGTCAGTCGGAAATGCAACCTTGAACGGTCCTCTGTGGCTGGAAGGTTCAGTGTTTAGCACTAGCTCAGATGATGTGTCAACCGTGCGAGAAGAAAGAAGTCGGTATTAACTCCAGCTGTACTTGGTGGTTTGTCTGGAATCTCACCTTTTATATGGAAGCGAGACACGCATTTTAATGATTTATGGGTTTTCAGACGTCGTGAAGCACTGGAACAAGTTGGAGCGATAAAAAGATGGAAGTGAAGAATCACTTTATTGTGTCTTTAATGGGTCATAAAACTGTCTAGATTTTGATTATCTACAGCGTGCAAACCAATACCTCGAACCCACTTTAACCGGTCGCCAAAATTGGTTTCAACAGAAATTTCGAGTTAATATATCAACACAGTGGTTTTCAAATGGGGATCCGCGGAACCTTTGAGGTCCACAGAGGCATTCTAGGGGTCTGCGAAGCGCAGCCTCATCAGTCAATTCGGCAATAAAACTTGTCTTTTCTTAGATTGAGAAGAAACACTCCAATTTTCGGGTGAGTTTTTTGGTATATATGTCAATAAGTGGGGTGTGCTTCACACTAGCCCTCGGTTAAATTCATTTATAAAATAACTATCATAATTCGCCTATACCTTTCCTTTCCCGTCACCACGAACGAGGTCCTCCATCATCTCCGCCGATCCACAATGGATCAACCACCGTATCAACAGATAAACTCACCTTGTTCATAAGAGAAAATAAAGGTTCAACTGTTTTGGGCAATTTATCGCGGCACTTTGCAAGTGACACCGTAACGATGCTCGCTGACCTGTAGACCCACGTGCTGTTTACAAGCAAGCCCTCCTGAGGTATGGGCAAATGCGCAGTTCACACACGAGGTGTAGACACTGCGCGTGCGCCCTGCTAATGGCAGCATTACCGCAGCAGCAATGCATCAGGGCCCTGTATCTGTGTATATCTGCTTCCGTCAAATGGTGAAAAGTGAGACACGAGGGAGTGCAGCGCCTTGACAGATCATGTTCGCACAAGTAGGGGAGGTTCCCGAGGAATTTCAGTGCCGTATAATCGCGTAAAGGCATCCTCCCCCGGGGATCACTCATCCTGTGTTTCTGGCTAAATATCTAGAACACAAAAATTCGGAAACGTCGCCAACTTGCCAACTATCGTCGAACATTGCGCAATGTCCAACAGGAATAGCGTCAATTGCGCGACCTGCGGTACCGGTGCGCGAGTGGCATCCGAGTTTGTAGCGAGTTACTAGTGAGTTCCCGCATTTTTATCTGTGATATGCGCCCGCAATATCTGTTCCCGTGACATGGAGGTTCGTTCTGAGTCCCCTTTTTTTTTTCATTTGAGTTCTGCAAGTGCAATTTCGCTTCTCATGGCACGTAGGTGTGTAGCTGGTTTCCGCGTGTTTACCGCACCGTAAAACATGAATCTGCTATCTGCGGTATCCTTTCCTGTGTCACAGGAATTTGTAGCATATTCCCACACTTTTATTGCATTATGATATGCGAATTTTCAGTGCCCGCGGTCTACAGTATTGGTTCCCGTGTCAAGTTTTTTATACAGGTTTCCTTCCCATCTGCAAAGATAGCCCAGCTCAAGGTTTTCACAATTTATCTGTTCATTTTGGGTGGGCAACCGGCATCTGTCTTTGGGTTTAGTTTATTTCTAAAATACTATCATAAAATCGTCCATTAGGAGGTGCGCACTGCACTGAAAGATGCCAGTCGAATCTTTCGAAAGATAGTCTGCCAAGCTGAGCGCCGCCGTGCCCTCAACACTTGCATCATCTATCGGCAGCTTTTTCAAATGGCATGCACCGTCTCCGAAATGCCGTCGTAGATAGCCCAAAACGAGTTTTACTTTTCTTTTTCTCTTTTATTTTAATTTCAAGTTTCCATCGCCACCCTTGTAGCAAATCGCAGGCTGCAAGAATTGGTTTCTCTATGTATCATTGAGAAACCAATTTTTCCGGACTGTTTAAAGTGTGTTTAAAGCATTTGGTTTAAACACTTTATAATACTCGGAGTACACTCTTCACATTCATAAATAAAGTTCGGCAGGTATAAATTAATAATTACAGGCACTAGCTTAAAAAAAGAAAGTGTTTATTACACACACCTATTTCTTCCTCAACAACTTCTCCCGTGCATCCAGTGCCATTGGGACAGCTTTCAACAGAAGAAAGGTGCCTACAAAAATATGGAGTTTTTTGTATAAATATATATCATTTTTTTTTTTTTTTTATGCAGTCTTGAAATTTTAGTTGAAAACCCTGTTAACGTTGTACTCGCAAGTTGCTTCCTGAATTGAGGCAATTGCGCTGACCTCAAACGCTGTTGGTGCAGCTGGCAGGGAATGACAGAGTTTCTAGTTTTTGTGCGTGCAAGTTGTTTTGACGGCTTCCCGTGATCTCGCGGTGTCTTGGTAGTTGTAACAAGATGAAGTTGGCGCCTGGAAAACTTTTTGCTGTTCAAAGTCTTCCCGCTTTTCTTTATTTTTTATTTTTTTTTTTGATCCGAGAATTTGTTGTATTGTGTACAGTGGGAAAAAGGTACCGCACTGCTGATCGACCTTTCGTATGCCAGTGGTTCCGTCACCTTTGTACCATATTTTCTAGGCTATAGCCTACAAGGGGAAATATTAGATAAAAAGAAAGGTTTTTTTTACATTGTTTGTGCCGGTGCTTAGTCCACATCCTACACGTAGTGCACACCTGGTGCATAGCCTGAACGTAAGCAAAATTTTCCTACACAACACACCTTAAAATATCCACGCCAAGGTTAAGTGTGCTTTATTAGGACACCGAACCTTGTAGCGTCATGAAGACGGCAGCATTAACATCGGATGCCATTTACGAAATGCGTTATGGCTTGTCATAATAAACTACTTTTAGAAGACAAATCCTTGTATTCTCTACACTTGTAGACATTTCGCACCGCATAACATTTCAGCTTACATGTATAGTCCGTGGACTATAGACTGGAAAATATGGTAGATGTTTCATTGAGAGTGTATCATCACAGTCCCAATTTGGCTGGTGCGAGTTTGTGCAGCGTCATGTGTTTACGAAGCCTCCGGCCCCCACCCCTTACAAGGGGCTGTGGCAATGCTTGCCTGTCGTTGCAAAAGCATCAAATTGTCCGCGAGTGCCCGCAACGATACAAACTCTCCCTCCCCCCCTTCGAGGTGAATTGGCAGGAGAGACAAGAGCGTGTGTCTCATTAGCCACGCCCTTCTGCCCCTTCGCCACAGGTGACATGGAGCACGTCGAAAAGGAAATCAAGCGAAGCATCATGGAGAGTTTCAAGAAGACGGACGAGGATTTCCTGAGGAGGGCGGGAAGTTGCAAACCCTCGTGGAAAGATGGCACCACGGCCGTCACGGTGGTGGCCATCAACAACACCCTCTACATTGCCAACCTCGGGGACAGCAAGGTAGCAGACCCATTAACCTTGGCCTTTCTCCATCCGGTAAAGCGTGATGCTTGCTGATGCGGTGCGACTGACTCTGGTTACTGAGAAGACGTGCTTTGTCTCTGACAGCATGGCTGTTTGTGCAGGGTACAGCAATACGGTCTGGTGCGGCGACAGTATGAGCTGGTACATTAAAAATGCCATCCGGGGGTCCCGGGTGTTTTAAGCCGTGGGAGGGGGGCTCCTTCAGTTTTTTGAGCTAGCTGAACGAACAATGTTTTTTAAATACCATGTGCTTTACTCTTCCCGGCATGTTGTTTATTATCTCTGAATTCAGAATAGCCATTGAGAAAACGCCAACTAAAGGTGATGTCAAAGCCAACATTCATATTCTCCCGCACTTTCCAGGGGTCTGATGTCGCATGCTGTAAAACTGTAGAGTCAAGCAGGCAGTCTAATAAACAGAGTATGTCATGCATTTGTAATGCGAGAGCGTTGAGGAGCTCGTGTCGCAGAAAAGCCGGCGTCACTGGCATGACGCGAAAACCCTGATTAGTCTATAGGGTCGTGACGTCACAGCCACATGACCTCGCGCGAGAATTTCAAACGACCTACATTGCTCATGTGAAACACGACGTCACGTGTGGAATTAAAGTTATTAAAAAGCATGACATGTAATGCAAATCAAAGGTTGCCGTTTGTCTCAAATGATTTCACTTTATACAGTAATTCATTTGCCTTAAAGAAAAATTTGAAGAATTTGAGGCAGGATTCAAACCCACGAACCTTTGGTTGTGAGCCAGACACGCTACCGACTAGGTCATGTCCGCCACACTTCCTGCCTACTGGCAGGAAGAGCATGAGAAGCGAATGAGAAGGTGATGCAAACGGGGCCCGATGTCGCTTTCCACTCCTAAAAGTGGAGCTTAAGCATCGTCCAAGTTTTTTTTCGTTCAGCCGGAGTGAGTTTTTGCAGCGTTCATTTCACGCCATCAAACTTCTAGTAACCCATCGGTAGCATGTTGTACTACCCAAATTACGGCATCTGTCGTCACATTTTCAATGTTGCTTGCCAGTAGAGCCCCACAAAAAAAGCGATGAGGGCCAAATATAAAAAATTCAGTAACGTCGCAAAAGAATAAAATGTTGTGTCCTGTTATTTCAGTTACTATACTCATTTTCACATCAAGAAAAAAGTAAGTTTTGCGTATTGTTCATACGCTGCGCGAAGTAGTTCTTACAACATTTGATTGTCGGAGGAAGAAGCAATGCTTTATGGCGTTTGAATTGTGTGTCTTGATAAGCTAACATATATTGAATCTAAGATGCGCCTAATATATCTTAATGCTCTATATAAAGGGGAAAATTGGTAATGCTTTGCGAGGAGCCTGACTTTTTTTCGCTGCGGTTCTTGAGGTGAAAAGGAGTATAGTTCAGCCGTGCCTCTTGATATGTTTAACCAATTTTGAGGCAAATCAGTGACTCATTAATTCGCCGGAGCTGGAATGGGCTGCCATGCTCCCTGTCATTGCAGTGTGGCAGCAGGTTCCTTGGCCCAGCGTTCTGGAAGCACCCCTTGCAGCATTACATTCTCTTCGGCTAGCACTCTGCTATCTCGGCTCGTATTGCTGCCAACTGTACTGTTCCTTTCAGAGTAGGGGCCCATGAAATAATTTGAGATGCAGTGTTTTAAGATGTGTTCTGTGCGTTGTGACGAGGGTATATTTGAACGACAATTTTTAGCCAGAAGCTCGGCTTTATTCATTTATGTTGAGATATTGCGGGCCTTTCTCCCGGCCCCCGGCGGGTTATACGCGAGAAGCGACCAGTTATGTGGCACTGCACACACACAGGGAGCCACCTAACAGCACCATATAAACAGATACTTATACAACAATATGACAAAATGTGCAATAGTAATGTGAAATTTCTGGGTGCATAATCTGATATGCATATCACTAAGAAGGTTTCAGTCACAGTGTTCAATAAAAATGCTCAAATGATAACGTCATTCGTGACAAGACCACTGACTTAGTTTGTAGAAAATGTGCCCTGTCGCAGTGCTTAATCGGGCAGTTGCTAACAACATGAAACAAATTAACGGTGCTAGGGTAGGAGCCTACACCTGGAGATGAATGACAGTTATCAATAGAGGACTTGAGTTACTTCCCAATCCAACAGCTAGTGTGCATGCATCTGGAAGCTTGAAGTGGGCATTTGATGACTTCGTGGCGATAGAGGAGTATTTTGTTCCGAGATCCTTATCGTTATGCAGATGACGGCGAAAATACCTTATAATTGAGGTGGCCCGCAGTTATGGTTTGCATATTCATTGGATGTAGTATTGTAGGCTGTAACAGGCAGTTTGTACCTGTTCCCTCCCGTAATGTGCATTACCCAAGTGGAAAAGAAAAAAAGAAAGGGCCAGGAGGTATTGTTAGGGGTGGTATAATTGCATTTGCTTCCTCTCTTGAGCATGGGTTGCGTCTTCATATGCTAAGTTGTATTCGCAGTTTGACGGATCTTGATGGGGGGAGTTCCCCTTCACACTTGATTGCGGGAGTGTGATGACATCGGGTTTTGGCTCCACCCCTCCCAGGCCATCCTGTGCCGATACAGTGCTGCAACCCAGAAACACATCTCCGTGCCCCTCAGCAAGGACCACACGCCGACAGAGTATGCGGAGCGGATGCGCATTCAGAAAGCCGGAGGTCATGTCAGGTGACTGTCCCACACTGTCTGCAGTCTTTCACAGAGTACAGATTGAAAGACGGTCGGCACCATGGGTTTCCCCGGAAATTGAAATTGGGGGGGGGGGGGGGGGGGGGGGGGGGGAGAGAGAGAGAGAGGGGAGAGGAGAGGAGGAGGAGGAGGAGTAGGAGGAGGAGGGGGGAGGGAGGGAGGGGAGGAGGGAGGGAGGGAGGCAAGGCGAGGGGGAGGGGGAGGAAAGGGAGGAGGAGGGGGAAGGGAGGAATAAAGGGGTCATTGCAAATTAAGGGGGTGCCTTCAGAAAAACAAGGTGGGGTGTACACACCTTCATGAGGGGTGTGTAGGGAAATCACTCGTCGGCACAAAGAAGCAGTATAATCTTTTTTTTTTATCTGCACGAAAGGTATTTATTAAAATTGAATGGTTTGCTATAATGCGCTTATCCGGGACACCAACTTGGGTAGTGAACTTTGGTGTTTGTCACTATCTTGTACGAGGGAGGTGTAAGGAAGAGGCATCAATGTCATGTTTGTGCTAAGTGAGTTGCGTAGCATATGTGCTGTACGCATTTGGTCTAAAGCGAGTGTTGTGGGATATTTGCTAGCTACCAACATAAGTACCGATAGAGTAACCAACGGGTTGTCTCAACAGCGGCGATATCTCAAAGGAGACGTCAAACCTAGTAGCGTGGTCCCCACATCTCCGCGGCAATGTAGACGACGTTTAGGGCTGCATTACTGCGGGTCGGTTCGATTAATTACCTCCGTTGGTGCCAATGATCGACTACCTTGTCTCACTCTCTCGAATATAGCGGAAGAGAAGACACACATACCAGAGTAAGGACAGAGTCCAAGAGCATTTATTAGAACACTCTTAAAATGAACTACAATGTCCCCATCCAAAATGCCCTTCGCGCCGGCAAGGTAAGAAAAGGTCCTTACCTGGCCAGACGCAGGGTTCCGGAGAGCCAAGACTGGGGAAGTATCGGAGAAGTCGCCGACACGTCCTATCTCTTTCGCGGTCACCCGGACGAGTCGCTTTCCCGAAAGCGGGAAAACAAGAGGCGAAACCTCCTCGCCTGTCGGCAGTGATTCGCATCCGAGTGGGGGGACGGGAAGAGGTCCCCCCAAGCCAGGCGGCCCTCCGCCTCACGAACAGGTCGGAGCTCACGGCGAAGGAGGCCGAGTGTTCCGACCCGCGGCCGTTATCACAGCCATCGGGGAAGAGAGACCAGAGGAATCCCCACAGTGTGCAAGTTTCGTTTAATTATTTGAGGCCATTGCACTCCGGTTTAACATCAATGCGACAAGAATGTTGCCAGTAATCAACCGGTTTCTGTGTTAATTACGAGTGTTAGTTTATTGGATGTGTGGGTTCCTTTTTGGGTCGGTGCTGCATAGAGATAGAGCACGAGTCCTGGGTCTTTTGAAACCCAAGCGTTCCCCAGAGCTCTCTTGGGGGTTCTTCGAGCACCCTAATTTTCTCTAAATGGTTTCTCAGTTTGAGCACTACTTTAGCAGATCTGAGCCTCTCACTGATACATAGTGCCTAACACCTGCATGTATGCATTACTGTTTACAAGGCCAGTAGGTTCCTCTACTGCTCTATCACATCGGTGCCAAGACTGAGAGGGGTTCCTCAGCCACCATCTGAGGCAGGTAGGGCTTTCTCGAGATTGAAAAGTTTGAGGACCCTTGACATAGAGTTTAAACATTTTTGACGTTGTTGGCACGCCGACAAAGTGGTCATTTTCTGCACGCGTGACGGATATGGCTTTCGTATAAGCGTGGCATGCGACCACAACCAACAGTATGGGCAGATATTCTGAATCAAGCTCGGTGGACTCTAGTATTCTCATTACACAGACATGCTTAACTGCAGTTACGCTAAGTCACAGTTACCCCACTATACTCTTGGACAATGTTTTGCGGTTATGCAGTGAAAGCTATGGGCGTACATATGCTTGTGCATCTTGAGCATCCGTCAAAGCTGTGCACGCTCACTCTTCACTTCTTCTGAAATAGTTGTTTGATAGTATAGTGCGGTAACTGATCATGCATAACTGCAGTTAAAGGTGACTTAACTGCGTTTAAGTGGCCTGTATAATCTGGGTAAAAACCTCTTTATTTTGGCAGCCCCATGTTTTGCGAGCTGAGAATATTGCGATGTGTCGACGTGCTTTGTTCCTCGTTCCAGGGACGGCAGGGTGCTGGGGGTGCTGGAGGTGTCTCGGTCGATAGGGGATGGCCAGTACAAGCGCTGCGGGGTGAGCTGCCTACCCGACGTGATGCGCTGCCAGCTCACAGAAGCGGACCGCTTCCTCGTGCTCGCCTGCGACGGACTCTGGAAGGTCTTCACCTCGGATCAGGTCATTGCAGCCGTGCTGTCGGTCCTCGAGGTATGTGCGTGTTCCGGACGCCTCCTGCCGCACTGGCCAAGCCTCGTCCTGTGATAGATGTTATTTTAACCCTGGAGGGTGGGTGCAAGGAGAGCAGCACGACACAAATCTACACCCAGCAAAAGTGTTTTTTTTTTTTTTTTTTTTTTTTGAGCCTCCAGTTTTGTGATGGCAATTTTGGCAATCTGGTTTGTGGCCCCCTATGTTTTAGCGGAAAATCTAAACGGCTAAGGGAAAGTGGCTTCGTAAACAGGTTCCTTATATTGGGAAAATGAAAACATGAGTTTCGAGCTGAATGTATAATGTTTTTGTTAAACACTCTGATGTTACACGCCTGAAGGTGTGCTGTTCTTTGCTGTGTGCCTATATATGGAAGAAAGAATATATTACTCTTACCTAAGCAGGTGTAATTATACACCTGCAGTGAGCTTCAACATGGATAGATTGATTGATTGATGCTGTCAGATCATTACGGGGCTTTCACAGAAGTAAATCGTGTTTAAACAAATTAAAAAAAAAAAAAAACAGTCATGTACACACAGCTCACGCAAGTTCTGAACAAAATAGATTAATCACTTGCATTATAGGGGAAAAAACAGACTCTAGAACAATTGATCCATCTCTCAATAATGGCATTATAGGGGAAAAGCAGACTCTAGAACAACTGATCCATCTCTTAATAATAATAAAAAAGAGTAAGCACAAAACAGAATGCTTGGAATAGGAAGCCATCATTCGCACAATATGTAAACATGGTAAAATATCAATGGTGTATTCAAATTTAAAAAAAAAAAACATGTCAGTACTGAGATAAATAGTTAGCACATCAGCATTGAGAGTCTATGCAGAGCTGGCTCTGAGCAATCAGGGCCCTAAGAAAAAAAAGAAAAAATTAATATATGCGAATGGTTAAAATTTTGTCACCTCATATTCAATGTGCATGCATGTTTTATTGTATTCACATGTAACAGGTGAACGCAAAGCGGAACTGACATACTTGGTATCTTTTGTAGGAGCAGAAGTGCTGCACCTAAAATTGGGTTGTGTGTATGTTTATACAGCCTAGAACTTAGTCTGCCTCAACGGGCGACTTGTCTCCCAGTCGTAGATGAGACATTTAGCCAGTGCAGTACAACTGCTAGCCTGGGGTCTTTAACGTGCACACGACCCCACGTGATACACGACCCCACGCCGGTACGATGCTCATCCAGGTTGAAATGGGCAGGGGTTGGAATTAAACCCAGGATCCCTGGGTTCTGCAGCGCGAGCCTGCGCTCCACGTGCTCTGAGCTGTTGCGCGCTAGCCCACTCGGCCCCCGATCCCCCCCAAGTGCTGCGCCAATTGCACCATTCTGCGCCAATCCATTTTAGCTCCACTATCCTGCTCCTAAATGCAAATGTTGTACCAAAACCAACCAAAAAGGCTTTTTTTTTTAAATGTTGCTAAATTTAGCGGATTTGTATTGTTTAAGGTGACTTTTATTGACTTTGTTTGAACCATTTGAACATGTCGTACTCACTTTCCTGAATTGTTTCACTTCCATATCCTATTCCATCCTGCTCTTTTGCTAGGAGAATATCCCCTCATCCCATTTGACCGTGTGTTGTCTTTTATTACTAGCGCAGGTTTTATTAATCAGATGTAGTCCTGCATAGCGAATTATTATTTTGTAGCACATTAACAATAACAGCTTGTTTTTTGTTTTTTTTTAATTTTGTTTGGTGCAGTTAGGCCTCTGTAGCTTTTGTGCCATAAAAACCCCAAACAACAACAACTTTGTGTAAGGAAAATACCGTATTTACTCCCATAATGAATGCAGTTGTGTAATGAACGCACCCGGGTACCAATATTTGAACTTCTTTTTTTCCCTCGTGTAATGAACGCACCTCCAATTTTCGGCTATGCGTCTCGAATTGCGTCCAACTTTGCTTGCCACCAAGCCCACCAAGCCAATTTTCTTTTGCCACCAAGCGGTCAGGCCAAGTCCAGCCAAGCCAAGCCGCTCTTGTAATTGCTGCAAGTGCGTAGTTGTGGAAGTGATCAACAGTGAAACCGAGCGGCGCACAAACTTGACGAAGCTTGGGTCGAGGAATTGCCCGGCCCTGGACATTCTTCGCCTATCGGATACATTGATGTCGACAAACACGCCGTCGTCTGTGGTCTGCTTTCGGACAGTGAAAATCGTGAAAGTGGTTAGGCCTATGAACAATCATGTTGCTCTCCGTGCTAAAGGAGCTTCGCAGGGCGTTTTTCCTTCAACAAAAGGCACGCCGAAAGCGCCCTAAAACGTTCGCAATTTATAAAGCATGCTTACTGTGGCGCGCCCCCGCCCAGCCGTGGGTGCGCCTCCGTCAGTGGAGACGTGCCACAGTACCTTGCCGTGTAATATTGGCACCTAATATGACATTTGCACGAAGTGTGTAAATGCAAAATTTTTACCCCGTGTAATAAATGCATCCCCCAAATATGTGTTAATTCTTTGGGGAAAAGTGTGTTCATTATGCGAGTAAATACGGTAGTAATTCTATGTGAAACACTAGGAGACAATTGCTGCGGTTTACTTTTTGGGATGCCATCTAGGGGCACTAACAGGAGCTCCGACAATTCTGTACTAGTATATTTGGATGCAAGTTAAACGTGCTCCAAGTAAATACCACCGGATATGATCCGCAGCATCAAATTGCTTTGCGGTCCAACCGGGAAAGGCCATGCCGAGTGATGCAACGTTGACGCGACAGTTTTATGGTTGCGCCTCGGTAGCGGACTATTTGCGTGCCACAGAGGAAAAGCGGTTTGTGGTAACTAGGGTACAAGAGAAGTTTCTGGGGCATTCTTAGCTCGTATCTAGCTTTAATTGTAATAATTAAAGCAATGCATCATTGAAATCAGCTGCCTCGAATGATGTAAGTGGAAGGTGTCGTGCATAGTCCCCTTTGCTGGAATTCCTTCTCTTCAGCTTGCACTAGGATGTCGTAGACATTCAGCCCAGAGGTCGGCATTTCAGGTCGCCCTCACTCATCCTCACCCTCACAGCCACACTCACCTAAGCCCCTCACTCACCCTCACCCTCACAGCTACACTCACCTTCAGCCCCTCACTCACCCTCACCCTCACAGTCACACTCACCTTCAGCCCTTCACTCACCCTCACTGAACCTCACGCACTCACGGCCCTCACGGCCCTCACCGCCCTCACGGCCCTCACGCCCCTCACTCACTCATGGCCCTCACCGCCCTCACGGCCCTCACGCACTCATAGCCCTCACCGCCCTCACGGCCCTCACGCCACTCACCGCCTTCACGCCACTCACCGCCCTCACGCCACTCACAGCCCTCACGCCACTCACCGCCCTCACGCGCCGCCCTCACACCCTTCACGCCCCTCACGCACTGGTGGCCCTCACGCCACTCAGGCCAGCTTCAGATGGGGCAATTTCGCCCAGAAACTTTACGTCGCAACACCAGCAACACGGGCCGCCCGCGATCACACGCAGCAACCAATTGCTGCAATTTGCCATCGTCATCATAAAATTTTATTTTTCACTATTTAGACACAATTACGCGTTATAAACGTGTTTTTATGCATTTAAATCTCGTTAAGAATACTAATGCACCTTTCTGAAACAGTTTATTTCCAAAAAAAACGATTGATTTCAAACCAGAACCAAGTCTTTCGGTGTCATCATCACCGGCACGAGGTATCACGTGAAAATTTTGCGTCCCTGATTGGCTGCAGCCGCTTCAAACGCATTCGAATTGCTCCGAGTTGCTTGCTTATTTCGAGCCGGACCCGATCTCAGCAATTCGTGTCGATCTAGGGAAAGCTAGAGAACAACCCGCCATTATTACCAAAATTGCTGAGAAAGATGCTCGATCTGAAAGGGGCCTCACGCACTCACCGCCTTCACGCACTCATGGCCCTCACACCCCTCACGCACTCACCGCCCTCACACCACTCACGCACTCATGGCCCTCACGCCACTCACCGCCCTCACGCCCCTCACGCACTCATACCCCTCACCGCCCTCACCGCCCTCACGGCCCTCACGGCCCTCACCACCCTCACGGCCCTCACGGCCCTCACGGCCCTCACAGCCCTCACCGCCCTCACAGCCCTCACGGCCCTCACTCACCCTCACTCACCCTCACACTCATGAATTTTCCTGGTTCAGAAACTCACTCACCCTCACCTCACCCGTGAAGATGAGGGTGAGTGAGGGTGAGTGAGGGCCCTCATGAGTGAGGTTTGCCGAGGTATGATTCAGCCTCATGCTTGGGAAACGGTTTGCGCTGCTGTTGAGTGAGAGATGGGCCCCAACGCTGGACCCATTGGTAAGACCACTTTGTTTGGCTATAGGTATCCCAGTTCTGGTAATAGCATGTCTTCATGATGATTCTGGAGCTGGGAAAAGTCTTTTGAAGGTACTTGAAAAACTAAATTTTACTTATGCTGGTTTACTATTGTCTATCATTTTGTACCATGACTGCAAGATGTCATTCGTCTCGTTTGCCTTTAACAATCTTTTGCAAGTCATTTTTATTCAAGATTAAGAGAATGAAGGTGTCCGACGACTTGCAAAATCTTCATTTCCAGGATGACTCTTTGGTGGCCGAAGGCGACGAGAAGAGGCTGCTGGAGCTCCGCTACGAGGCAGCATGCAACAAACTGGTCAACGAAGCCGTGCGCAAGCTCAGCGGAGACAACGTGACTGTGGTCATCGTGCATATAGCAAGGGACAAATGATGGACCTCCTCTCATGGCAGCATTTGACTTTAAAAGGAAAAAGCAGAACGCTGTTTCAAGTCGCATTGAAGCGAAGACGACGGAAGATTTTGAAACGACCGCTCCTTCGCCTAGCTTGCTTTGTTTTACAGCCTATGTGTTGCTCCTTCATTTCTCTGACTTCCTCCAGTTCCATACTTTATTGTTTTATATGGTGTCACGAGGCAGCCTGTTTGATCTTAGCTCCGTCGTAAATGTTGTTGACTTTGCATTGCCTCTGACCTCCCGATGACACCTGCAGCTCGCCTGGAGTAAGAAATGCAGGCCATGTTCGAGCGAACGGTAGGCTCGTTCGATTTACCTGCACCTCATGCATCGGTCTAGATTTTATGTATGCCGGTGTACACAACCTCGTTCCATATAGGAGACAAAGCCCGTCTTTAAACGCAAACCTGAAATACGCCGTCTTGCACTTTTCTGCCCGGAATAGGTTGATGTAGGGACGTCGAAAGAGCCTGTCGTCCGCACGAAACTTTGCGGTTTGTCGCCCGTGTGCTGGCACTAAGCCGTGCCGAGATATTCCTCTATGAAGACAAGTGCACACTTCTCTCATGGCCGCCAACGTGTGATACACAATAAACAGTTGGATATCATTTCTCTTTTGTCTGTTGTCTGTGCATTTCCCTTTATCATTATTTTTCTATGCAGTCATTTGAATCTCGCAGATGTCTCCGTAAAAGGATGCTTCAGTCCAGCAATGCCCCTCCAAAGTTCTATTTCACCTTACGGTAGACTGCAGACAACCCTGCTAGCTATCGAAGCCCATCCAATGCCGTGTGAGTGTGATGTGACTTTTGGTAAGGGAGCAGCAATGCGTGGGGCTTGGCTGGAATGGCTCGAAGCATTCGCTGCAGTTCCTCGTAAGTTGAAACTGAGTAAAGGAACTGTGCTTCGGGGCTCTGAAGAAGCTAAGTTTCTTAGCAAAATGTCGGGTGCCACCGACTTGTTGCGTAGGACGTTCCTTTCCAAATTGTTACCAGCACCAACTACCCATCTTGTTTCAATGGTCAAGTCCTGAATTTCTTTTCCGTGACGGAACAATTGCCGTGACATGTTCCTCCACAAGCCGTCGTCTAGGTTCAGCACTATTCAACTCCACCTAGACAAAGTTTGGCTGCAGTGCAACGCAAGCCCCTCTTCTCCCTCTTGGGATGCGGCCTTTTCGTCACACGTCAACTCGTCATAGGGAAACTGGTAATCACCCGTTCATCTCGGCGGGACATTCGTCACAGATGGAATGATTTGTGACAACAAAGCGTGAAGCGTTTGCGCCAGCGTTGCTCCAAGAGGTAATTTGCCTTTACATAAACTAATAGCTCGCACGTCGCTCATCTATAGCGGATCGTTACAGTAAACTTGTGCGCGTTTTCAAAACATTTGATTACTACCTCGAATAAAGTACTATTTGATTTGATATGCGCATCGAACACTGTCATCTCTTGGAAATTTTCCAGTATTCCCCATTCACGGTTTGTTCGCGTGGGATGGTTGGCTCCGTTGAGCGTGCTTCTTACCATGCACCGATGTATGCGGAGAAGCGACATTCGCAGAGTGTCATTGAGAGAGAGAGAGTAAACTTTATTTTTGTACGCCTGGTCCGGCGCTCGTTAAAAAGGTACTGCACACTAAAAAAAAAAAAAAAAAAAAAAAAAAACTCGTGAGTACACCTCTCCGCACAACACTCGTAGGCCAACCACCGCAACCCACGGAGGCAGCCCAGCGAACGACGATGCCGAAACACATGTCTAGACCAAAAAACGCAGTCCGAGCTGTGACACCAAGCAATGCAAGCGTGACGCTTTACAATGCCCAACGTCACAACCCAGACCGCGCCCCCCTGTCCAAACACACGCCCCGGCAACGCCACCGGCCGAGCCGCCCCCGCAAGTCGCGGCGACCGGCCCCCCAAGCGCTGCGCGGGAAAGCTGACGCACGAGCCTTTTTTAGATTGTGGGGTGTTTACGATTCCTCTTCTGGGAGGGTGGTTATAATGTGTTGGAGGAGAGTATCTTGGTACACGGTGACCAGGTGTTTGGGTGGACGGAGCCCTTCTTCGTAGGATGAGGGCCGTAGAGTAGGTGAAATGCAAGATAAAGCCGTGCGTTTTGAAGATTGGGCATTGGGACATGCCCAGAGTGTATGGTGGTTGTCTGGGTATCCTCCACAATGTTTGCAGGTTGGGTGTCCAGCACTTGTAGATATATAATGGACGAAGTTGTCTGTAAGCAGCGATAATGTCTGCGCTCTTCTTAGGAGTACTTCTTCCTTCCTTCCAAGCGAGCGTTGAGGAAGGGGCAGAGTTCTGACATTTTCCTTTAGTTGCTTAAGTGTGAATCTCCTTGTAGTTCTGCAGATGGCTCTCTCGGTGCGTGGGTTGTACTCAGGCGGCCATATAGCAGGGGGTCCCGGCAAAGGTTCTCGGGTGAGGAGGTGAGCCTCCTCGTTCCCCTCTGGGCCATCATGGCCTGGTGTCTATTGTATCGTGACCGTTATGTTCCTTCGCGGATGCAGGTAATTCTAAATATGTTGTCTAATGTGTGAAGGCAACGTGTTATCTCGGAAAGCCCTGCATGCAGCTTGGCTATCCGTCCGGATGAGGATGTCTTCCGTAGGGTGGTAGGGTAGTGTTATTGCCTCGCCGATAGCAGTTATCTCTGCTTCCTCTGGAGTGGGGATTTCTACATGTTTGTTCTGCCAGTTGAGGCGTCTGTGTAGTATAGTGTGACGTGGGCCGGGATTGGAGAGGTGCGAAGTTTATTGATCCTTGCCGCCCTCCTTGTGGCGTATCTTTCGTTGTCCATGTTCCGAGGGATAGGTAGAACCGTTAGTCTCGGGATGTATTCCCACGGTGGAGGGATGTCGGGGATCTCTTCAGGGGGAGGTGTAAGGTAACCCTGCTGCCTGAGGATCTGTCTTCCTTGCTTCGAGGTTAGTAGGCGGTCATGTTGGGATTGCCGTTGTATGTCGCACCGCTCCTCCTGCGTGTTAAAGGTGCCGGTTGCTTCGATACGGTAATTCGCTGAGAATCGTGGGATGCCCAGTGCAAGCCTGTGGCCTTTGCGAAGAATCGTTTCAAGTTTGGATGTTTGAGTCTTGGTGAGTCGGATGTGTGGTAGTTGGTATAGAGTCCTATACGAGGGCCTCAAGTATACGTCTCAGATGTTCTTCTCGTACGCCTCTGTTCTTGCGTGTGATTCTCTTTATCATGTGATGTATTTGTTGTATTTGTACGGTGAGTTTCGTTAGTCAAACGTTCCATTTTCCATTGTCCTGAAGCCAGAAGCCCAGGATGCGTATGACGTCTTTGCGTTTTATCTGTGTGTTTGCGATGTTGAGATATATGTGGTTTCTAGTTTCTTCGGCCTTCCTACCGGTCGCTTTAGTTACAACTGTGTATTCGGATTTTTCTCGGGAGCAGGTTAGCCCGAGCTCACTAGTGTATTTATGTACAGCGTCAATACCCCTTTGAATTGTTTCCTGTTGTTCCCCTGGGGATCCATTGTTACAACATAGTGTAATATCGTCTGCATACACGGCGTGTTTAAGGTTGGGTATGTTCTGAAGTCTGTTCGGAAGGTCTTTCATGGCTATATTAAAAAGAGTGGGCGACAATATCGCTCCCTGTGGGACTCCTTTCTCAGCTCTGTGTTGCGGAGTAGTATGTTCGTCGACTCTGACCTGAACGAATCTGTCTCGTAAAAAATCTTGGACGTATCTGATTAGTCTGTTTCCGATTCCTAGGTATTTTGGATTCATGAGCGACGTTATCAAAGGCCCCTTTGATGTCAAGTCCAACGATCGTCCGCATATGGGTGGTGCTTTCAAGGTAATATATGTCCTCTTTAATGCGGAGCATGACCTCCTGCGTGCTGATGTGGGATCTGAATCCTACCATCGTGTGAGGCAAACATTCGTTCTTGTTAGGGTGACCAGACGTCCCGTTTTGGCCGGGACGGTCCCGTTTTTGAGGTCTGCTTCTGCCGTCCCGTCTTTTTGTCCCAATAAAGTATCATGTCCCGTTTTCGCAAGAGTGCATAGTTTCGAAATTGGCACCAAGCGAGTTGAAGCAAACCGAAATTACAAGTATGTTACAAGTATATTTTACAAAAATAACCGTAGGTATGCTTTAAAATATGAGTTAAGCTATACGCACGAGCCCGTACACCTCAACCGGAAATGGCTACCGTATTTTCCGGGCTATAGGCCGCGGGCTATACATGTTTAAAAGTTGAAAATTCAGGCTGTGCGGACTATCTACGCGTGCGGACTATACAGGAATCTTGTTTTTCAATATCGTTGATTATGACGAGACGAGACGGATTTTGTGAATAAAAGATTATGCAAGTTATGATTTATGTATAATACAAGCTTCTTTGTGAGCTACGAAAGCAGTCATATGTCAAGTTGTGCCGCGTATGAGAAGATTTTTGTGTCGACTAAGCACCAGGTGCAAACTATGCACCGAGTGCGGACTATGCACCGGGTGCGGACTATCTAAGCAAAAACTTTAATTTTTGACCCCAAATTTGTCCCTGCGGACTATACACCGGGTGCGGACTATAGTCCGGAAAATACGGTACAAATTTCAGTTTGCAACAAAAAAAAAAAAAGTAGCGTAGCTTAGGAAAGGTGCCTGCTTCATACACAACGGATCCAGGTTCAAACCAAAGACGGTGCTTTTTTTTTTCTTGAGTATTTTCTTGTTAAGCATTTTTCTTTGTCAAACATTTGGCGCTATTTACTACCTTGTTTACATCAACACACACACACACGCAAAAAAACAAATGTTGTGGACGAAACTTTGCTGAACTAAATGGTATGGGACTCCCTTTCCGGACGCTTGGGTTGCCGGCTGGACGACGTGAAGCGGCGTGTACGGTGGGGCCAAGTGAGTTAAAAGTTTTGTAATGAGCAGCCGCATACTGTCGCTGAGAAGCGGCGTGAACGTAGGCGGGGGTTATTAACCCAGGGAGTGATAATTAGTGCAATATGGTGACCTTTTGATATAACAGTGGTTATTTCATTAAAATGTTCTCCCAATTTTTCGCTCACCCCCCCCCCCCCCCCCCCCCCTTCCCTGCTGGGATGTCCCGTTTTCTACCTTGAAGAATATGGTCACCCTAGTTCTTGTCGATGTGCCAAAGCAGTCTTTCCAGGACCAACTTCTCCATAACTCTAATGAGATAGGCCTGAGATTTGAGATTTGGTCGGGCGATTTACCTGGTTTGGGGATTGGTACAATTGTGGCTATTTTTCATTCTTGGGGAATTTTGCCAGTTTCCCAAGCGGCGTTGATGATTTTTAGTAAGTGTTCAAGTTGGTTGTCCGGAAGGTTACGGAGCATTCGGTAGCTTACACCGTCTTCTCCTGGGGCAGAGTTTCGTTTGATGTTGGCGAGGGTTCTAGTAAGCTCGTTCAACGTAAAAGGCGAGCTTATTCCTTCTGCTTCGTCCGTTTCCCTAGGTGTTTGGTCTTCTGTATTTGCAGCGTCTTCAGATGCAATGCTAGGATAGAACTGGTCGATCAGTGCTCTCCCTATTTGTTCTTTAGTGTTTCCCGTTCGGAGCTGTATCTTGGTTAGAGAGTGTGGGTTTA